TGGTTGAACTGGGGGCCTGGTTATGAAACATATTGTTCCCCTGTCCTTGAAGTTGATCATGCTGTGGACCCATTTGCCACCCCGGTATCCCCTGAGGCTGAACATAATGAGGTCTGAATGTTTGTGGATTGAGTCCTTGATTAGGATATGGTAGGAAAGGAGCCCCATTGAATTGTTGCATTCCTGGTTGATGTTGGCCTGGTGGTGTTAAGGTTGTTCCCATTCCCGGCCATTCCCACCAATATGGTTGTGTTCCTCCGTAACCTCTAAGAGGTGGTTGGATAGGTTGTTGCATCATATTATGGTATTGTGGGATTTGATTGCCCCACTGAGTTCCTACTTGGACACCCCCACTCCCCGAAGCCCGCGCCCCGCCCGGTGTCCCCTGAGCCGAGGAAGAGGGCCCCGGTTGTGTGAGGGTGTGTTGTGACTGTAATGGGTCCCAACCTGTTTCCTCTTCTGAAGAGGTATCATTACTAATGTTATGTCTGGACACATTTACGTTGGGGTCCCTCTCAGGAGATAACGGGTACGGTAGCGTGCTGTCTGAGGTCAAACTATGCGTTGTTTTTTGCTTCTTTTTTAGTTTTTTATTTTGAGTGACTGGCACTTTCCGCCTTCGTTTTGTTGTTTTTTCTTTTCCCATATTCTGAAATGTGATAGTACAATATAGCACTTAAATACTCCGAGCGACTCCTTTGGGCAAATGAAATGCGTACTTGCAATTCAATTACCTAAGTGCCATATTGAACTTAATGTATGACCCCCCCCCATTTATCGTAAAAACAGAAAACAATGGTCACTCCCTATTCTATGGTTTGCTTATGGGTAATTGTCATTACCTAATTAATTTGTGTGACGATTCTTTCAATCCTTGTTAAATTCATGTAACTTATATATTTATTATACATTTTGGATAAAAGTATTCTTATGAACATATCGTATCACCTATCATCCATGTACATGTACATAAATGTACATGTTTGACTAACTCATCAATTTTGTGAATATTTAGATGAGAGTATAGTCCTTGGATACTAGCTAGCTAAATAATTACTTGGATGTATGTGTCATTAGTATCATGCAATATTTTTACTTGGCCTACTTACTAAGCCTTGCTTCCTTAGTTATAGTACCATGCCGTAACTATGTTAAACAACTATTTGGATAAAGAAATACTCACTCTTCCTTCCTATGCCAAGGAATAGGGCGTCCTTAACCCCCTGTCTGTAATGGGGCATAAATGCATCGGTAAAATGCGTACCATCTTTGAGTTTGTCCCTAAAGCCCATTTCTATTCCACTGGTCCTGTAGAATATGATGGGGGGATGTGCTTTTGACCTTTGATTTAATAATTTGTTCACCATATGCGTAACCTGATTGTGACGCTTGGCATGCCCTTCAGATTTTATCCCCTTTTTTAAATGCCTGGGGGTGATCCATCTCTGGATTAATTTGCCAATGATCACTAAGCCATTTGGTTTCACATGAATTTTGCATTTTAAAGCTAAAGTCCATAAATCTTCTGCTACTACTTGTGCTACCGTTTTCAAATCAGTTTTTTGAGAGAAGGTTTTGTCTGCTATATCGTTACCGCCCGCCTGTATAAAGCAGACATCATATGCCATCGGGCCCCAATCTACAACTTTTTTCATTATACCCTTTGTTTTCCCCCCACTGATGGGAAGAAAGTCCACTTGAAAACCCTCATGGGGATTAAACCCCCAAGGATTTTGTTTTCCCTTGAGATGCTTCTCTATATGACCAATGTGAGAGCTCCCTACGATCCATGCCCTCATGTCATGTTGTTTACTCATGTTACTGAAACAAACAAAACATAATGGTGTAAACTTACCGCATGCTTGCCTTTTTGTTACGCCTCATTGTTACTCGGGATCTTAAATCTACAGGTAACATGCTACTAAATTCTTTTAACTACAATTTTTTAGAGGCACATGACCACTTGCTTGCTTGCTTGCTTATATATCATTGCTAGCTTGCTTGCTTGCTGATTTGCTCATGCAGATAGAAGGAAATTAAATTTTCTTGGTCTCTTGTATATATTTATGTAAATTTGTCATAGTACGGCTAATTGTTTTTCCCTTTTTTATTCAAGAGATCAAACCAACTTTCCTTTATCTGGATTGAATTTCCCTGCAATCAATGACGATTCATCGTCCTAAATTAACTAGCTAATTTGCTATTGGCTTACTATTCATTTGAAATTTTTTCCATGGCGATTCTTCCATCGTTCCGACCACGTGAGATTATTTAAAACCTCAATTAATTCTAAACCTGGAAGTGTTTTCATAAACTAAAATTTTCTAGCACCTTACTAAATCATGATAGAATTAACATACCTATTTTTGATGTGCTGCTCACTTACTACCTCTGAACTTTTCCGTTTTTCGCCTCCGAAATTCGCTTTGCGATATCAGTCCTATATGGAAGAAGCATGAAAGGAAGTTAGACTTCCCATCATGCATCACTTCTTCCGGGATGCTCTGAAAAACTTAAATTTGGATTAGAAATTCATTTCCACTTAAGCCGTTACATCTACAACCCGCTAGGTTAATCTGCATTATCCCCTCCTTAACCGGTAAGTGAGCGACAACCTTCTTGACACATAAAGTTTTCTATTTCATAGAATTTATTATCCTACAGTTACAAGGAGTGTACTAAATGTATAATATCATTGCAAAATGAATTCCATGCCAAATAGAGTCAATTTTGCGGGAAATCAACAAGCGGAGTATATCGTCACAGTATCCACCGCATATTGGGTTTTCCGGAGTATATCGTCACGATATCCTCCGCCCGGAGTATATCGTTACGATATCCTCCGGATATTCATTTTGTCAATAAATATCACATTTATTTTTTAATGTTATTATACGTTTAGTACACCAAGTGTAGGATAATATTAATTATCGTTCAAGCAGTGACACAATTGTTTCTGAAGTCCGTTGTAGTACTTTCCGTAAGTGCGATACTAACAACTGCATTGCAATTTGTATATTTGTCACACATTTATTGAATCATCATATTCAAGTCGGATATTTTTGTACAATAAATATTACCGCAAGCGCTATCGACCAACACAGAAATTGAAGTCACGGCCATTTTTTTGTGTGACATCTGTCATGCTAATACACATTTTTCTGATTTTTGCACATTTGGTCTGGAATTTTTACGCGAATTGCATATGTGTCGTGCATTTGCTTCTTATTTCCTCAAAACTCCCATTGACGGAATTCGTGAACGCAAGTGATGAGAGCGAGAAAAATTCGAGGTGTCCAAAATTTGAATATATTGCATTAGAATTTGAACCAAGGTGTCGACAACTTAAATGTAGGTGTTCAACATTTGTAAGTCACTCACTTTAGGTGTTCCCAGGTAGACAGGACTGTAATTACAATTGATGATCCTGTAAATTGCTTTAATTTGGCGCTATTTAATTTGGCGGAATTGTCAGATTTTGACATTTTGGCTGCTTAATTTGGCGGATTGACCATCATCAACTGTATTATTTACTCACTTAACAGCATTCCACTGATAACACAGTTTTATCTCTGGTATCAGGCTGTTTTATCTAAACCAGCGGGGACTCTGTAGGTCTTCCAAACCCCAGGGGTTCACTGTATATAACCTTGACGGGGATCCTCGGCGCACATGGGGTACCTTTTTTGACATTTGGTATGGCAATGGACCCACATTTTAGGATCTGGTATGAGAATGCCCCCCAAATTATGACTTTTGAGGTATGGCAATGGTTGGATTTTTCCACTTTCTAGTATGAGAATGGTCATGGAAAATATGTTTCCTCTTACTTGTGGGATGGCATTGGTCTTAGTTGTTACACATATCCTTAACTTGAGGTTGTTTTGGATCATTTTCCTCAAAGATCTGTCCAGGGCTTTAGATATTTTGAATGCCCTTGGTCTTATATTTGGACATTTGGTATGGATTGGTCTTTTATTTGGACATTTGGGTTGGTACATATGGGAACACATTGAAATTTGGCAGATTGGTATGGGAAGTTGGGAACATATTGATATCTGAGGGTTCAGCCTAGGACCCCCACAGAATTTTGTATACAGTGAACCCCCCTGGCTTCCGAATTGGTTTAAAATTGATATTTAATCCATGTTTCTAAGATTTTCACTAACATTTTATTGTGTAAGGTATGACTTGAAAATTGCATTGGATTAAAATCTCCAGGAATTTTAGTTTTAAAAAATTAGCGGAGACAAATCAAATCTGCCAAATGACATGACAACAGCCATCTAATTAAAGCAATTTACAGTAGTTCAGAATGACAACAATATTCTTAACTCTGGTTAGAGAGCTGTCATTTAGGGAACAGAATGTAATCATGAAATTTTCGCAAAATTTATTTTTTTTAAAAAGTTTGTGATTTCTTAAAAAATTGTTGACCAAATGACCATGCTATTCCCTTCATTTGAAAAGTTTGGCTTCATCTTGAGCCATTTTGTGAGATTGATTGTTTTGATTAATGATCTTTTAGAACCTGAAATGTAAAAATATATAGCCTCCCTGTACTACTGTACATGTATTTTATCAACCAGCAATGGACAAAAACATTGAGGGAAATAGTTTCCCAGGAATTTTGCGGCTAGTATATTTCTCAAGTTAGAACCTTTAGAATTAACAGCTATATGTTTTGCGAATTTTCAAAAACTGTCATTTACTTCTAGTTAACTGCAACGATCTAGGCTTACAATAGGTCTAACCTCGACTAACACAGCTCAGCTCTAACTCTACGTACATGACTATTATATCATTAAAGCATATTGAAGAAAGGTTTGCTCATAAGCAAATAGTGTTACTAGTATTTTTACCATTATAGAATTTTTTAAGTCATGAAATTATTATAAGTACAGTGTATGCCTAGAGTATTATTCATGTTTATGTAACTGCAGTATAAAAGGAAAATTAATATTTATTTAATTATTTAAAAACAACAGATTGTATTTTAGGTAAATTTTCACAATGGACCAGGCCCAGTTGACATTGTTGAAAGGATTCACTGAGCTATGCAAGAAGAACCCTTCAATCTTACATCTCCCACAGTTGGCCTTCTTCAAAGAATGGATAGAAAGGTATGAGGTATACACTGGGTTTTTGTGTAGGAGGGGAGGGGTTAAGGCCCAGTTGACATTGTTGAAAGGATTCACTGAGCTATGCAAGAAGAACCCTTCAATCTTACGTCTCCCACAGTTGGCCTTCTTCAAAGAATGGATAGAAAGGTATGAGGTATACACTGGGTTTTTGTGTAGGAGGGGGAGGGATTAAGGCCCAGTTGACATTGTTGAAAGGATTCACTGAGCTATGCAAGAAGAACCCTTCAATATTCAACTCCCACAGTTGGCCTTCTTCAAAGAATGGATAGAAATGTATGATGTGAACACTGGGTTTTTGTGTAGGGGGGGGGGGGGGGGGTTAAGACCCAATTGAGGTTGTTGAAAGGATTCACTGAGCAATGCAAGAAGAACCCTTCAATCTTACATCTCCCACAGTTGGCCTTCTTCAAAGAATGGATAGAAAGGTATGAGGTGTACACTTGGTTTTTGTGTAGGAGGGGGGTTAAGGCCCAATTGACATTGTTGAAAGGATTCACTGAGCTATGCAAGAAGAACCCTTCAATCTTACATCTCTCACAGTTGGCCTTCTCCAAAGAATGGATAGAAAGGTATGAGGTATACACTGAGTTTTTGTGTAGGAGGGGGGGGGGGGTTAAGGCCCAGTTGACATTGTTGAAAGGATTCACTGAGCTATGCAAGAAGAACCCTTCAATCTTACATCTCCCACAATTGGCCTTCTTCAAAGAATGGATAGAAAGGTATGAGGTATACACTGGGTTTTTGTGTAGGGGGGGGGGGGGGGTTAAGACCCAATTGACGTTGTTGAAAGGATTCACTGAGCTATGCAAGAAGAACCCTTCAATCTTACATCTCCCACAATTGGCCTTCTTCAAAGAATGGATAGAAAGGTATGAGGTATACACTGGGTTTTTGTGTAGGGGGGGGGGGGGGGTTAAGACCCAATTGACGTTGTTGAAAGGATTCACTGAGCTATGCAAGAAGAACCCTTTAAACACACATCCTAGTTTTCTGCATGAGAAAAATTTTGGCCAAAGTCTGCATAAAATTCTGAATTCCGCGATAAAGTCTGCAAGCAGCGACTTCATCTTATTATCTATCACTTAATTGTAGGAATTCAAATTTCATGACATCATCTTTAAGTGCAAAATCCGGAAGTTTGGGAATTTTAAACAGATTTCAAATTTCCCAATCAAAATACTCATACATGTATGACATCATGTACATTGTATAATAACATTCTGGAGAGTTTGTTGTGTACTGTATATGAGGTAGGGGGATAAGGTGTGCTTAGAAAGGTATGACATCATGCACATTGTATGTTCACATTCTGGAGAGTTTGTTGTGTGCTGTATATGAGGTAGGGGGATAAGGTGTGCTTAGAAAGGTATGACATCATGCACATTGTATGTTCACATTCTGGAGAGTTTTTGTGTACTGTATATGAGGTAGGGGGATAAGATGTGCTTAGAAAGGTATGACATCATGCACATTGTATGTTCACATTCTGGAGAGTTTGTTGTGTACTGTATATGAGGTAGGGGGATAAGGTGTGCTTAGAAAGGTATGACATCATGCACATTGTATGTTCACATTCTGGAGAGTTTGTTGTGTACTGTATATGAGGTAGGGGGATAAGGTGTGCTTAGAAAGGTATGACATCATGCACATTGTATGTTCACATTCTGGAGAGTTTGTTGTGTGCTGTATATGAGGTAGGGGGATAAGATGTGCTTAGAAAGGTATGACATCATGCACATTGTATGTTCACATTCTGGAGAGTTTGTTGTGTACTGTATATGAGGTAGGGGGATAAGATGTGCTTAGAAAGGTATGACATCATGCACATTGTATGTTCACATTCTGGAGAGTTTGTTGTGTACTGTATATGAGGTAGGGGGATAAGGTGTGCTTAGAAAGGTATGACATCATGCACATTGTATGTACCAAAAAACGGCACCAAATGGACTGACTAGTCCGGTAGCAAATTTAAGTGTCCAAAGGTTTCGGTGCCGGAACGGTGTCAAAACGGTGCCGGAACAGCGCCGAATTTCCTTGATGCCGAAACGGTGCCGAATTATATTGGCTGTGTAGGGGAGAGTTTGTGTGTGTATTGGGGGAGTTTGTGTGTATAAGGAGAGTTTGTGTGTATACATGTATGGGGGAGTTTGTGTGTATAGGGGGGAGTAGTAATTGCATGAGATTCCAACATTGATAATATTCTTATCTTATTGCCAATGATCCATTGAGATGCTTGATGTTATCCAGTGTTTCGTGAGAGTGATGGTTTCATAAAGAAAACTCTCAGTTTAATAACTGTACATCATCTGTTTGATAAACCAGCTCTCCTTTTCTCTTGACATCAAATGTTTGCATTTTTCATCAGTTGAATAAAAGCATTGATTACTAGTATCTGGGTTTGCGTATTGGGCCAATGCTCACAATGTATTCCAATTAAAGTGTTATCAATATGTTTAAAGCTAGAATCATAATAATAAATAATTAATTACCTCGGTTAGTGTTTGTTTTATGAGAATGAATCAATGATTCAGAGATGTTACAATAATTAATACAGTAAATGTACATGTAGGTAACTTGGAGCAACGTAATTAACTGGTGTCGAACCCTATTTTAAATCTTATAAACAAATGCCAACCTGTTGAAAATCTGTTTGTACCCTGCAAATGGGAGAAATTGTGAGATATTTCGACCAAAAGTTGTACAGGATTTTTAGGATAGCACCTGTACCTTGTTAAGAAAAAATCTTGAAGAAATGACTGCCATGTTTTGTTTCTCATTTTCATGTCATTTACCAGTTATTTTCATAAAGATGGGGGATATTTAAATCTCTTATTTCTCCAGGATTAACACATGTACCAATACCAGTTATTTTCATGCATGTTAATGTTAAGATGATTTTACAAAATTCACCTTTGTCATACTTTGGACTTGTTTTAGTTAAAGTGATAGCCATGATAGCAAAGACTAGATTGTAAAATGTTAGAAGAAATATTTTCAAAATTCAATCGTAAACAGGTTAGAGCACATTATTAGATGGTTTGCCAAATATGGCTGATATTTTCTATCTTCCATTATTTTTGTTATTTTTAGCCTTGGTGCAGAGGTGCCAGCCCCAAACACATCATTTGATGCTCCACCTCCAACAGAAGAGCAACCAAAACCAGCTCCTGCCCCAGTAAGTAAAAATATGTAATTTTAATTATTGTAACATATAAAAAATAATTGACAGTTGTCAATAATTGGTATTTTTTAAGATTCTTCTCATTTTCAAGTGCCGATCTATTTTCAAGGGGTGTAAATCTATTTTTCATATTTTCAAGTACTGTACTAGGTGCTGTGCCTACTTGCTTCTTAGCTTGAGAGATAACATATTCACAAAAATATTTGCTTACTGTCTCTTAGACATTGAAAATTACTTGATTACTATTTTCAAGTATTTTGTGCTACATGTGATATTTGTTTGTTATAGAAACGAGAGCCTACCCCAGAACCTGAGAGTGAGGAAAGTGACAATGATATAGAAACATTTGATATTTGTTTGTTATAGAAACGAGAGCCTACCCCAGAACCTGAGAGTGAGGAAAGTGACAATGATATAGAAACATTTGATATTTGTTTGTTATAGAAACGAGAGCCTACCCCAGAACCTGAGAGTGAGGAAAGTGACATTGACATAGACAATGAGGGAGTTATAGAGGGAGACACTGATGTTAACCAGGAAATGGGCGATGAGAACCTTGAGGTTACAGATGAGATGATGGAGCAATCTGCTGCTAAACGTGGTGAAGCTATGGAAGCTGTCAGTGATGGTGTGTATGAAAAAATATTTGAAATAATATAAAATATAATGTTAAAGTTAGTCATGTTAAAATATAATATAAATTATCCTACACTTAGTGTACTAAATGTATAATAACATGAAAAAATAAATTTGATATTTATTGGCAAAATGAATATCCGGAGGATATCGTTACGATATACTCCGGGCGGAGGATATCGTGACGATATACTCCGGAAAACCCAATATGCGGAGGATATTGTGACGATATACTCCGCTTGTTGATTTCCCGCCAAAATTGACTCTATCAGGCATGAAATTAATTTTACAATGATATCATACATTCAGTACACACCTTGTAAGTGTAGGATAATAAGAACATCCTATGATTTTTTTCAGAATATCATTTTAATCTACTCGGTGATATTGATATATGCACTCGTTCGCTTCGCTCTCTCGTGCAGATATCAATATCACCTCGTAGATAAAAATGATATTCCTCAAAATCATAGGATATCCTATAAATATTATATTTTCTGTAGCTTATCTTAATGTGTTATTACATACAACATTGTGCTCTCATTCCGTACTTCGATTTCAACTTACCTGGTTGCAAGAAAAGCTGTTGGGTTCAGTAAAAAATGTTGGTCCTTTCCCTATGGCTCAATGTGCGTTGTACATGTATTTATTAAAGATCTGTTGCAGACTTTGCCTTTATCAAATGCTGATGACAAAATTAAACTAATGATGTACCTTTTTAGATGGTGACATAAGATAATACATTTAAGCTCTGAAAAGGAGGAAAACTTTTGAAATAAAAATGTAATCAATTGCATATCTCCAGGGAGATTTGAAGAGGCTTATAATAAATCCCTATTATTTCATATTTTCAGGGCGACTTGAGGATGCTATTGGCTTATTTACTGAAGCAATCAAGTTGAATCCCCACTCAGGTCTGCTTTATGCTAAACGTGCAAGGTAAATTTTTTTGATAATATACAATTTTTATGGCTCTTTGAAAAAGTGCTATATGGTCATCATTGATCTACTAGGTGTGCATAGTTCTTTGAGTCAAGGCGGTGACCAGGCACTACATAAATCGTTTCATTAACATCCTGTTATTTACAGTTTATTAAATAAAGTGATGTATGCAAGTATTCTGCATGTGTGTTACCACACATCCTCCTAAGCAGGTATCCAGAATCCGTACCTCCTTCTTCCCCCTGCTATAACCAATTTGGAAGCGCCCGATTAAACTGAATCACATTATCTAATTATGCGCAATGACTTATACATGATTTCTGTCGCAATGTTGCGACAGCCAATCAGATTGCGAGTTCTTAATTGGGGAAATGCTAACTGCTTATCGCAGGGGGTAAAAAGAAAGAATATATTCTGGATTTTGAAGCCCTGTGATCGGAGGATGGTTACCACATTGATAACCTGAATATTCTTTTTTTAGCGTGTTTATTAGACTCCAGAAGCCTAATGCAGCCATCAGAGATTGTGACAAAGCAATCTTACTGAATCCCGACTCAGCACCTCCTCATAAATGGAAGGGAAAGGCTAATAGGTAAGTAATTTAATGAACTTAAAAAGATTGGGACATTCCACACAATCAGAATCAGCTGCTGGGAAACACTTTTCTCCAAAAGAAGTATTGCTCATTCAATCCAGGTCACAAATCAAAAATGTGATGGTTCAGTTCCAAATGTGTTTTTTTAACATTTCATATCAGCATTTGAATCACAATAAAAAAAAGCAAGCTTATTACAGTTACATGGGAACACCATCAGTTGCCTCCTGCAAATTGAATCCTAATTATTATATGGGTTAATTTGGCGCCTGTTCATAGTCACTGTTCCACAGCTGGATGACTCTAACTGCAGTGAGTGAGCGTCATTCAAGATGGTTGCCGAAATTCTTTTGTTATCGACAAACCTCTGATTTCAGCTAAACTAAGTTGAATCTGGATTTCAAAAGTTTCGCCATACAAACTTATAAAATTACAATTGTAAACAACCACAGATAAATGCTCTATCAACTGCCATATGGGTGAAATTTAAAGAAAACAGCTTCACTTAGAATGACCCAACTGAAGTTGTCATCATCAACTTCAGTTAGAGTCCTTCTAAATGAAGCTGTTTTCTTTCAAATTCTCTAATGTTGTGGGTGTTTGGGCATTTATTTATGTCTTTAGCTCACATGGTGAGCTTTTGCAATCACTCACTTGTCCGTCTGTCCGTCCATCCGTCCGTCTGTCCGTCAACAATAGTGGCACGTTTTAAAACCTCTGTCGATAGGATTCCTGTTTTAAGTTATTTCTGTTCAACATCAATACAGAAAACCCCCTATGACTCCTGGTTCAAAAGCTCGCCTATTTTCAAAATGGCCGTCACTTTTGTCTCGCGAAATTCACTTTTACCCCATTTCCTAGCTAACCTCTGTCGATAGGATTCCTGTTTTAAGTTATTTCTGTTCAACATCAATACAGAAAACCCCCCTATGACTCCTGGTTCAAAAGCTCGCCTGTTTTCAAAATGGCGGTCACTTTTGTCTCGCGAAATTCACTTTTGGCCCATTTCCTAGCTTTACAAATAATTTCAGGTGTCCTACATTGTAAAAATCCATGTCAATGTAAAGATTAGATATATGAAATAATTTTGTTACAAAAAATCAGCGAAAAATTGTATCCATTTTTTTATTTTCAGCCATTTTAGTTAACATTGATTTGTCTATCTGACTCGCGAAATCCACTTTCTGTCAATAACAGTGGCACGTTTTAAAACCTCTGTCGATAGGATTCCTGTTTTAAGTTATTTCTGTTCAACATGAATTCAGAAAACTCCCCTATGACTCCTGGTTCAAAAGCTCGCCTATTTTCAAAATGGCCGCCATTTTTGTCTCGCGAAATTCACTTTTGACCCATTTCCTAGCTTGTCAAATAATTTCAAGTGTCCTACATTGTAGAAATCCATTGCAAAGTAAAGAGTAGATGTATGAAATAATTTTGTTACGAAAAATCAGCGAAAAATTATATCCATTTATTTATTTTCAGCCATTTTAGTTAACATTGATTTGTCCATTTGTATCGCAAAATTCACTTTTGGACCATTAACCTTAAACCCTCTGTCAAAAGGATTCCCATTTTAAGTTATTATTGTTCAACATCAATACAAAAAACTCTCCTATGACTCTTGGTTCAAAAGCTCGGCTATTTTTAAAATGGCCGTCACTTTTGTCTCGCGAAATTCACTTTTGACCCATTTCCTAGCTTTACAAATAATTTCAGCTGTCCTACATTGTAAAAATCCATGTCAATGTAAAGGGTAGATATATGAAATAATTTTGTTACAAAAAATCAGCGAAAAATTGTATCCATTTTTTTTATTTTCAGCCATTTTAGTTAACATTGATTTGTCTATCTGACTCGCGAAATCCACTTTCTGTGGCATGTTTTAAAACCTCTGTCGATAGGATTCCTGTTTTAAGTTATTTCTGTTCAACATCAATTCAGAAAACTCCCCTATGACTCCTGGTTCAAAAGCTCGCCTATTTTCAAAATGGCCGCCATTTTTGTCTCGCGAAATTCACTTTTGACCCATTTCCTAGCTTTGCAAATAATTTCAAGTGTCCTACATTGTAAAAATCCATGTCAATGTAAAGAGTAGATGTATGAAATAATTTTGTTACAAAAAATCAGCGAAAAATTATATCCATTTATTTATTTTCAGCCATTTTAGTTAACATTGATTTGTCCATCTGTCTCGCAAAATCCACTTTTGGACCATTTACCTTAAACCCTCTGTTGATAGGATTCCAATTTTAAGTTAATTTTGTTCAACATCAATACAAAAAACTCCTATGACTCTTGGTTCAAAAGCTCGCCTATTTTCAAAATGGTTGCCATTCTTGTTTCGCGAAATTCACTGTCTGTGGCATGTTTTAAAACCTCTGTCGATAGGATTCCTGTTTTAAGTTATTTCTGTTCAACATCAATTCAGAAAACTCCCCTATGACTCCTGGTTCAAAAGCTCGCCTATTTTCAAAATGGCCACCATTTTTGTCTCGCGAAATTCACTTTTGACCCATTTCCTAGCTTTGCAAATAATTTCAAGTGTCCTACATTGTAAAAATCCATGTCAATGTAAAGAGTAGATGTATGAAATAATTTTGTTACGAAAAATCAGCGAAAAATTATATCCATTTATTTATTTTCAGCCATTTTAGTTAACATTGATTTGTCCATCTGTCTCGCAAAATCCACTTTTGGACCATTTACCTTAAACCCTCTGTTGATAGGATTCCCATTTTAAGTTAATTATTTTCAACATCAATACAAAAAACTCTCCTATGACTCTTGGTTCAAAAGCTCGCCTATTTTCAAAATGGTTGCCATTCTTGTTTCGCGAAATTCACTTTTTGCCAAGATCCTAGCTTTACAAATAATTTCAGCTGTCCTGCATTGTAAAAAGCCATGTCACTGTAAAAGGTAGTTGTATGAAATAATTTTGTTACAAAAAATCGACAAAATATTATATCTGTTTTTTTTATTTTCAGCCATTTTAGTTAACATTGATTTGTCCTTCTGTCTCGCGAAATCCTCTTTTGGACCATTTGTTTAAAACCTCTGTCGATAGGATTCCAGTTTCAAGTTATTTTTGTTCAACATCAATACAAAAAACTCCCCTATGACTCCTGGTTCAAAAGCTTGCCTGATTGATCACTGTAAAGAGTAGTTGTATGAAATAATTTTGTTACAAATTATTGGAAAAAAATTATATCTGTTTTTTCAGCCATTTTAATTGACTGAGAGACAGATGGCTTGAAATAATTTTGTAACAAAAAATCAGCAAAAAATTATATCTGTTTTTTTCTGTTACCATGTGAGCCCAGTACCCATGGTACTAATTTTTTACAATCATAGTTTTATTAGTTTGCAAAGTGGCAAAACTTTTGGAATCAAGATTCAGTTTAGTCTAGCTGAAATCGGGGGTTTATCAAATACAAAATAATTTGGCAACCATCTTGAATAACGCTAACTGCAGTTAGAGTCATCAAGCTGTTGAACAGTGATAGTGTCTGACAATTTAAATAGCTGCCAATATGCCTAAAATGGCAAAATCACCAAATAAAGTAGGTCCAAATTAACACAATTTACAGTGTGTTGACTTTGTTTTTTTTAATAAATTGTTTTAATTCTTGAGATAATCACCTATTGCTGTTATGGAATTAATTTTGGACATTACATAATTGTTGTGATATTGTTTTACTATACTTTTTTATTATAGATTACTTGGAAAATGGGAAGAGGCAGCAAAGGATCTCAGTAAAGCCTGCCAACTTGATTATGATGATGATGCCAATGAAATGCTGAAGGAAATTATGCCAAGGGTATGTGAAATTCAAAAGTTCAGACAAATGTTGGTCAAAATGTGCCAATTTTTCACGTTTTTCTGTTGAGTGAAAATAGGTTTTCAGGTGGGTGCATTAGCCCTTTTCAAAATCTCAATAACGCAGATGCGAGTAGGTAGTTACCAGTTTCACCACCAGGTGGCTCGTTCGGGTCAGATAGCATGGCGAGTATAGTAGAAAGTTCCCTTTAACTTAAATTACATCTGTTTTAGTGGTTCAATTTTCATATAACCCTTATGTATCTAATAGTTATGCAAATCAAAATATGTCCAGTAAATGAAAATGTTATCTGACCAATACAAGAAAAGATATTCCACTTTTTGTGATTTCGTAACATGGGCTCTATGGAGAATCAACCCGAACTAGAAGTCACACATTCAAAAATAATTAAATTTTCAAACTTGATAAACAATTTTCGAAACCATATTTCTAGATGTACTTTTACATGTAGATTTCAAATATAACATCGCTTTGACTGAATTTTGAATATTTAATGGTGTAAATCAAGATTTTTTCTACTCGCATCTAGACTATTGAGTACACCACTCACTTGCTTTATTGCTATGATTAGTTTATTGCCAAATTGCAGTTGCCTTTGAATTTTGTACCGATTCCAGTGTTAAATGATAATTTTCAATAATTTTGGCAGTTGAATCAATCCAGGTGCAAGTAGATTTTCAAAAGGGTGTAATGTACTTTTCAAAAGGGTGTAATGCACTTTTCAAAAGGGTGTAATGTACTTTTCAAAAGGGTGTAATGTCCTTTTCAAATGGATGTCAGTGTTCGCGTTGACGCCGTTTTTTGCCATTTTTACGGAAATTTCAGAAGGTTGGACGTTAAAATCAAAATCAACTTACGTCCCTAGGACGCAAAAATTATAAACTGCATCAAGATAACTTTTACTGCAGCACAGTAGCGGTGAAACATGGTTTTCATCAAGATTTTCAAACTCACTGCCTTGATATACGAGCAATGATCCAGGTATATTTATATGGCAAATCTGATTGGCTATCATGGCTACCGAAGATTAACAGGGTTTCAAGTATGAGACATGGATTTTGATTGATTCCGATATATTCCGGAAAATGCCGCAATCGAAATGGAAGATCAAAACATACAATATTGCAGAAATCCCCTGTGGTGCCCCACAATTGAAACGATTGTTTTTCACGATTATCTTTATTATTTCCACTAGGAACCATTATATATTGATCTAATGTTATACATCAAGATAATTGTTTAATGATAGATCGAGGTTTTTCATCTAAAAGTCTTCAGAATAAGGAGAAATGTTAATAAAAAGAAGCAAAACTTCACGACCTTGACATGACCTTCAAGATCGCAAGTTTGTAAAATGTGAAAACAAAACTCTTAATTTGAGCATTTCCTTTATTCATTTTGGACTATTTTGGTATAACATTGCTTAAGAATTGTGTGAAAAGGACCCAGTGATAAATATTTATCGGGAGGATGCATCAAATTACAATATATGTCATTTTTATCCCATTTTAGTGTAAGCACTCTATTATCGCCCACTTTATTTTCACTTTCACAATATTTTCTTGAACTTTGTGAAGAAATAAGAGGGACGCAAAAAAATTAGATGGGGACTCAGAAATTTAAATGGCTGGCGCGAACACTGGATGTAATGTTCTTTTCAAATGTACAGCAGGGTGCAGCATCAAGTTGCTTTAATGCTGGGAAAATTACTGTATTATAAAACAAAACTTCATAATTTGATTATTTGAAGTTTATTGGCACATACATTTACTTATTTTCGCGTTTATTTGAATCTCAAATTATAGTTGATTTTATAACACATAAATTGAGCAATTATTTGGATAACATAACACACCAGGTTACAGGCAGTCTTGGCCTGTTGGCTAAAAGCATACATACTACTGTACCTGAGCAAGAGTCAGCAAGTCTTAAACAGTGAAACCTATGAATTACAGGCCTGTATGAACACTTCATACAGCCTATTAACCCTTTCACGACGATAGGCTCCATATGGAGCCCTATTATGTAATACCTTTCAGGACGATAGGCTCCTTTTGGCACCATTATTTTTATCTATATACATCAATGAAATGACAATATCTCCAGTTCTATTCAGTATTTTGACACCAAATTTTGACAAGTTCTAATGTGATAATCCTTACTAAAAATTGTATTTCAGTGATAAAATTCAGGGTAAAGGTCCCGGGGCATAGGTATTTTGCAGTTTTCCCCTAAAAACTGCTCTTACTTATCCGTCACCACAGCCAACATTTTCCTCTTATATTCACGTCAGGAAAGGGTTAAAGGTGTTCCACTTAATTCACACAGCTAAATCTTTCACAAATGGAATGTTGATTATATTACATAAGCAGCCTTACATAATACTGTTCATGGCAGTACCCTTTACTTTTTGAGTTTGTATATACAAGTATAAAGAAATGCTTGACATATTTCTCTAATTTCTTTGAAAAATAATGATTTTGTAAACCTCTTTCAATAAGAAGCTTCATAAGATGCCAGTTGTTCAAAAATCAGTTACATTCATCACTGTAATCTGCCAATTCATAGCTAACATACATTATTTCATTTAGGCATTAATTTCCTGGATAGACTTTTATGATACTAAAATAATTTCATAACCTCAACATCACATACTTTGAGACATAATTAGATATGTTTAATGACTAAAAATGGAATATGAGGGACTAAAAGCCTTAAAATAATTGCACTGTTTTATGAGAAGCATACTACATAGTTTTCACTATATGATGACATAAAAACACAAGTCCATGTACAGTACTTATCTCCCATCCCATTCTTTAAATTTCACAGGCAGTACAGTATCCACATCCTCTTAACAGTGTACCATCAGATGGTATAACTAGTGAAGTTTTTGGGGCAGACCTCCTTCACTTGTTTTGAAATCCTGAGCGTATTGTACAAAGAAGCTTTTCAGGTGCCACAATGGGATGTAGATACTACTGTTATTTCCTCTCTGGGTTTTGTCCCGTCCGAGAATTGTATATCTTGGATATGGGATATAAGGGATACATGTAGTAAATAAATGTCATATTCAGAGGTTTCTTTAGCAGCAGTCAACAGGCATTTTTCTCTCCCAAAATTGATATTGTAAGAAAATATGTTACTACTCATGGACTTGAACATCAAAATTATAATAGTCAATTATTTTGCTTACTGTTTTTATTCATTTTGCCTGTTACAATGAATTCTAATGAAACCTCTGATATTCATTAAGGTTGTGAATTTGAACAAGTGTCTTTTGTGCAGACACCCTTCTCAGATGACTCCTGTAATAGACCTGGCAGCTGTTTTTTGATGGCATCATTTAGGTTATCGTACAAACAGCCATCAAAATATGAGCAATGTTTTGTGAGACTTAAAAATGAATTAATGGCATTTATGCTAAAGAATTCCCTATATATATCCGGGGAAGGTATGTCATACTTTGAGACCCCATTGGATGAAATGATTTTTTGAAATATATTAAACCTATTTGGATAGTTTACAATCTCCCTTATTAGTTCTTCTGTGTCTCCAAATACAGAGTTTTTTTCGTTGAAGACCTTTAAATATTCATTGACTAGCAGAGCGTGTATGCGCACAAGTTGGGCATGTTTGCGTATAAATGCAATCTTGTGCTCTAATCTGTTTTGGATCATTTGATTAATGTCATTCAGGAGGGATATCTCTTCATCATAAAACAATTGATGGTTTGTGTTGTCTTTAAATGCTCTACCCCAGAATGACCCTGTGTAGACCCTAGGGGGCTCTGTCACATTGATCAGTGGGGCGAGACTCCAGAATAACGCTCCATAAACTCGCATTAACTCCTGTTGGGAGATAGAATCAGCCTTGTTTAATATGATTCGGATCTGGGATTCTCTCCCTTTCAACTGTTGAAATAACATCTCAAGTTCTTTCCCGACATCTAGTTTTGTCGGGTCAAATACGACAAATATAAGATCTGCACGATCTATCATCCATTGGCAGACTTCGTTAAATGGATACCCGCGTTCTTGCTGTTTCCTATTTTCTATGATACCAGGAGTGTCCATTATTGTCACCTTTTCTAAAATCTTATGAGGCATTTCCACACCTTGGAATTTCTCTAAAAATCCCTGAAAATACAAACAGACTCAAGATGAGCAGAACCAATTTATATTTAGTTGTAGTGATTCATCTGAACAAATATGCTTAACAGAACATGAGTGTACCATGGAACCATTCTCACACATCTTATTTGGGGATATCTCCATAGCAAACACCCTGTACCTGTCCAAATTTCTCCTGTGTTGGTCTATTGCTATGTGAAGCAATGACAATTCCTTCAACTGCCTTGTACTTTGGTCCATTCATCAGTTAACATTTTAGAACAAACTTAAACAACATGCTGACATGTACCTGTCCAAATTTCTCCAATGCTGAGAAGGGTCTATTGCTGTCTGTGGCAAGGACAATTCCCTCCACTGCCTTGTACTTTGGTCCATTCATCACTACAGTAAAATCGGATGTAGTTGGTTCAGCACCTGCATTACAAAAATATTATAATTAATGTAATAGGCTATATTCAAGTAGAAATAAGCTTAATTAACATCACTAATATTCAGAATTCAGTCAAAGTGATGTCATATTTGAAATTTACATGTAAAAGGTGGTTTAGAAAATTGTTTTTGAAAATTTAACTTCTACATGTAGTTCTGTGTTTCTAGTTAGTATACCTGTGTAAAGTTTATGATCAGAGTCCTCAATGCCAACAAGGTAGTTTATCATTGATGATTTTCCAGTGCTCCATGGCCCAAGGAATAACAGCAGTGGCTTAGAATGCATCTCACCATCTGGAATCAGTGATCAGTGACCTTGAGTATCAATCATTGCAATTATGAGCTCAATTACACATTGTAAAAGGGATGTTTTAGAATTTAGAATGGTCATATTTAAAGCACCTTATCATCTGTACAGCTCATCTCCACTTGGGCTTAATTTGATAAATAGGTTACCAAACCTGGTACAAGACTAAGATAATGTTGAGTTTATGATACAAAACTAATTAATTTTATGTACTGTCATTAAAAAAGCAAGGGTAGATTGAAATCAAACACTGACAGACTATGAATCTGTTTGGTTTTCAAAACAGAACATCCAAAACATTATACTTTTTACCTGTAATAATGTTTTTATGAATATCATTGAATCTATATGCCTCTGCCATGGGCTGGATAGACGTATGGTAGATATCTGTCAACCTGTTGAGAATCGTCCTGATTTTCTCAGTCTGATTGTCTTGTTTAGTTAGCTGTAGATAATCTTTAATATGATCTCTTGTTCGCATCTTTGGAGTTTCCTTTTTGTTTGTTTGACTAGTTTCATTTTCATCTAGAAAAAATCAAGTTATTCATGTATTGTTCATGTATTTCACTAGATCTATAAATGTGGCAGTTTAAATCTTTGCAAGATTTTAGTGCAACATGTATGACTGACTGATTTAAGTACTAGTCGGTATAACAATATGAGATTAGGAGAATTAAATCATATGTAAAGTTTTTTGGTTTTTCAGTTCTCATATTTTTTACAGAATGTGTTCAATAATTGGTTTAAGAGAAAAACATTGTTAAATTCAGTTCACCATATCGATACATATCCTTTTCTGATTTTTTCACTGAATTTTTTTGTTTTTATACACTTTATTAAAAGAGTCTTCTCACAAGTCTTTTCTGGGCATATAAGTGCACTCTGAGCAAAACTGGAAGATGTAGACAAATTGGGGAAGGAGTGATTCTTGTTTGAAAAATAACATGTGACTCAATTGAGGAATGCAGCAAATTTCTGAACATGTACCCTGACCTTAAGCAACCAGGGAGCTCATAATCTATCTATTTGGCTTTGGTCCTTACTACAGTAGGCAAGTATCCTTGGACAAATTAAAACAAGCATTGATGAAGTTTGAAGGTTAAAAGATTAAAAGGTATACAAATATCAAAATGAAACCAAAATTTTTAACTCCTTGAAGACTGGTCACTTTTACCAAAAATGAAAAAATGAAAAAATAAAGTGTAAATGAATCTAGAAGCAAGAAAATGAAGTAAGACGTAATAAGTTATATATCATTTTGAAGGCTAAACCCATACTCTATTTATTTGAAAAATATGTGTATATTCAAATGAGATGGTGACATTGTGATGTCATAATTCAAGATGCGCATTTGGATTTTTTACAAAATGGAATTATTTTAGCATTTAATTTTTTATTGAGACTTCAATTTAAAAATCTGAAAACACAGAATTATACATGTAGATCTTTTTATGCTGATTTCAGTGGTATGTGTACCATGGCTTAACTCCTACAAATCAAAATCCCTATGGCGATTTGACATGGGATTTTATCGTTTTCATTTTTTTTTCGAAATATGGCAAATTCAAATGCCTGTAACTTTGCACAGAATTATTAGATTCAAACAATCTTTTTTTAGGATGTGTTACTGGTCAATACTTTCAGAAAATGCATTATTTTTGCAGTTTTATTAAGTCTCTTGCAAATGTGTGACTGTTGCAAGGCTAATCCTTAAAACTTTGAAAAATTAGCCTCACTTCACACTCTTCATGCTTTGGGGATCCATGCACTTCCAATTCTGTAGTTATGAAAAATACGTTTATGTGACATGACATGTTTCTTTAGTCAAGATATACAATTCATATAATACAAGGTAAACATATTTTAAAAACATGTGTCTTTATCAAAAAAATTTGTACTCTTGATTTAATTTAGCTTCGCCTTAAAAAAATAATATCAAAATGAAAATGAAACCAAAATTTTTAAATTCACAATGAAAATTGAAGCTTACATTTTGTAAAAAGTACCTTATAATATACCATGAAAATCATCTCTTTTGAAAAGTTACCTAAATGTTGTAATAGTACAAACCTTTTTTGAGAACCTTGGATGCTGAGCTGACAGAAATCACTAAAATAAAGATAAAAATAAGTTTCTGTTTGAATTTGGCCACCATGTTGTCTACAATGCATTGTGGGTAAAGCCCCTTATACCAATGTAAAATATAAACATTTAAATGTGATTAAAGGGCTAATACTGTTAAAGCCTACTTTGTATATATTGTCATACAATTCAGATAATCTCCAAATTAACCATTAACATATTGATTTATTAGAATCACTTTAAAATGTGGCACATACCACTGGCAGATCCAGGGGTCCTAGTGACCCAGCCCTCCCCCCCCCCTTGGGTGGGCCCAAGAAAAAGATTTTGGCTCAAAAAATATGAGGCTTGAACATTTTGTAGGGCCTCAATAAGTGAGCTTTTTTAGATATTACTACATTGAGATTGATCGTATTCCCAATCAATGAAGGCTTTGTCACCAATGGTCAAGCATATTTCAGTAGGAATACTAGCAGAGTGGTTTGAGATGCTACAGTAGAACCTCCCCCAACACCTGGCTAAGGGCCTGATTTATACATGTACGATGTTACATGTACATGTATATTCCCAGCCAGTGCCTGTAGACATTTTAACATCCTGTACACATAGGCGTAGCCAGGGTGGGGGGGGGGGTGATATAACCAATAAAAATTGAACCATAGATTAGATTTTTATCATTTAGTGCATCAATTTTTGTAAATTCAAAACAAATCTTAAAGATAAGTTTTGCCTTGCTTTTGTCACAATTTTGTCCTTGCTTTTGGCATCATTCTGACTGAAAACAAAAAAAATTGGCGATTGCACCCCCCACCCTGACTAATAGCTGGCTATGCCCCTGGTACATACTTGAATACGTTATGTTGTAGGCTAAGAAGATTCAAGAACATAAGAGGAAACAGGAACGTCGTAGAGAGGACAAAGAATTGAGGGAACGAAAGGAAAGGATCAGGAAAGCCCAGGAAGAGAATGATAGAGCCAGGAAGGTAAGGAATATCCTTACCTATTATTATTTCATAATGTAATTTTTGCAGAAGGTAAGGAATATCCTTACACTTTAGCTACCATTTCATAATGTAATACAGTATCTTCATTCTGGGTTCTGAACCAAGGATTTGAAGAGAAAGGATCTCTTAAAACACCTCTTTAAATCCTTATCTGTATCTGGGCAGTCCATGTTTTTATGATGATGCACACAGAGGGATGTACATGTATGTACATATACAGGGTGACCCAAAAAAACGTTACCCTCTTGTTTTGAAATAACTTTCTCAATTATGAAGGAATCTTCATGAGTTTTTTGTGTAGATAGAGTGTTCAATGTAACATTCATGAGCAACTTAGAAATTGAGATATCATTGTTTTCCGTAGACGTATGGTCTGATGCTAAATCATTTATAAATTTAAGTTATGAAGTCTTATTGGGTGGAACTGTCTTATTGGGTAGATGACATATTGTTGATAATATGAGTGAATGCAATCCAGACACAAAAAATGGCTAGGCTAAGACATAATTTCATAAAGTTGTATTTTTTAACATTTTTTTGAATGATTTCACATATACAGTACCTAAATCTGAAAATCTTAGATGTTTTTCTCACTTTTTTAACACTTTTTTTCACAAAGATTCCACCATGTTTGAGAAAGTTACTGTACTCCCGATAATTTTCAACCGCTATTATATTTTGCGAGATTTGGAAAATTTGCGAAATATAATAGTATAATAGTAGCGAAATTTCAACAGTTCTAATTTGTGAAATTCCACGGAAGTTCCCTGGGATTTCAGTGTTGACAATATTTTTGTCCAGTGCTAGCGATACTAGGTAAAAAGTTACATTTTGAGTTATTACGGTTTCAAAATGAACATTCTAACAAAATGGCCTAATTAGAAGCCAAAATCATCAGAAGAAGGAACAACAATGGCTGATATCCAAGTCGATTGAATGATCTTGTATGACAAATCCTTGAAAATTAATAGCCGCAAATTTTCGAAAAACTGAAAATTAGCAAAAAATGATAGCTGAAAAATTTCAAAATGCCAAAAATGTGAAATATAATAGCGTCAAATATTAGTGGGAGTACAGTATTCCAAAATTAAGGGGTATTATTTTTTAGATCACCCAGTATATACTCTTACTTATGTTAAAGATATCAATTTTTCCAAGCCTATGGAGGTCAATCAGATTCAAAGTCCATTAATTTCTGTTTTTCCAAGGCAGTAAAATTAATTTATCAAATGAGGGGATGTTAGTAATAAACAGATTACCAAAAATGGTGTTCATTTAATTTTAGGAGGCTGATGAGAGAGAGAAAGCTGAGGCAGAGGCAGGAGGAATGCCTGGAGGGTTCCCAGGGGGATTCCCCGGGGGAATGCCTGGGGGATTCCCAGGAGGAATGCCTGGTGGTGCCCCAGGAGGATTCCATGGAGGTATGTCCACATACCTAACTTAACATACCTAATACATGTAATACTAATCAACAGCTTTTTTACAGTATAAATATGCGATACTTTTAAGTTTGCTTTCATGTGTTCCGATTTGTTTTAAAAATTAAAAGTGACATAATCTTAACAAACCTTCCTAATAATAGATTTAGAATCTTACAAAGAGTGCATTATTTTCATCAGAGAAGAATCAAATCGAAGTTCAACATTAACATGTTTCAGGAGCAGGAGGTGCAGGTGGGATGCCTGGTGGATTAGACTTCAGCCAGTTACATAATAAAGTACAATATTAACATGTTTCAGGAGCAGGAGGTGCAGGTGGGATGCCTGGTGGATTAGACTTCAGCCAGTTACATAATAAAGTACAATATTAACATGTTTCAGGAGCAGAAGGTGCAGGTGCAGGTGGGATGCCTGGTGGATTAGACTTTAGCAAGTTACATATTAAAGTACAATATTAACATGTTTTAGGAGCAGGAGGTGCAGGTGCTGGTGGGATGCCTGGTGGCTTAGACTTTAGCCAGTTACATATTAAAGTACAATATTAACATGTTTCAGGAGCAGCAGGTGCAGGTGCAGGTGGGATGCCTGGTGGCTTAGACTTTAGCCAGTTACATAATAAATACAATATTAACATGCTTCAGGAGCAGGAGGTGCAGGTGCAGGTGGGATGCCTGGTGGATTAGACTTTAGCCAGTTGCATATTAAAATACAATATTAACATGTTTCAGGAGCAGAAGGTGCAGGTGCAGGTGGGATGCCTGGTGGCTTAGACTTTAGCCAGTTACTTAGTGACCCAGACATACTGCAAGCATTCCAGGTGAGTCGAACATTGTCATGGTGATAGTATCATTGTCTGATGGGTCTACAATATGCATGCAGCCCTCTGGTCTTTCAGGAGGGTGCTACACAAATTTTGCAGAGGAGAGCTTAAAGAGGCTTGCTGGGTAAATTTCTCAGTGGTGGCCATTTTGAATTTTTTTTATAAAAAGTGATATTTATCAATGTGTGGCTTAATATTTAAATGGTTTTGCCTGAGTAGACAAGATGCCATCTCTTATGTTTTTGTTCCATACTTTATTCAATACTTATTGGTTTAAAAAGGCTGTTTAGTTAAGCAAAGGGTTGATAAATTACCATTTTAGGCTCAGTGCACAGTTGTATTCATGACCAATGTCTCATTTTTAAGGTGATAGGTGGTAAGTGTTACATATTTTTATCCATTTGATTAGAAATACATTAGGATTAATTTGGATGAGAATTACAACTATTGACATTTTAAATGCCACGTCCGTCATCCCTCTTTATTTATATTCCCTGATTCTGAATTTTTCATTATGTATGTTTACCTCTTGAATTATGTTCTACGTTTTTGATTGTCAAGGACCCCGAAGTTGCGGCAGCATTCGCAGATATTAGTAAAAACCCAGCGAATATGGCCAAATACAAGGACCAGCCCAAGATCCAGGAATTCATGCAGAAACTGATGGGCAAATTTGGTGGGGGAGGTGGAGGGGGTGGCTTCCCAGGATGCCCTGCTTTTGGTAAAGACCAAGAGGAACCCCAGGTTGACTGAGGTAAGGCTTGAGAATGATGGAAATGAATGACATACCTGAACTTGTTGAATCTTTTCTTTTTGAAGGGATGAGTTAATATGAGCTTCACAAATTGAAGCAAATACTAGATGGAATTTTTTGAGGAATTGCTTCAATTGAAATTCATCAACTCCAACTAGCATTTGTAGATAGCTATTTGAGGAAGGATTAAAAGGGCTATTGGAATATAAAGCTATTTAAAAATAAGTGATATCATGCCCGTAGCCAGTTTTTTTTTTTCAAAATCATGCAGTTTTTCACCATTCTGACTATTTTTTGAGTGATTTTTGGCAAAATTTGCCAAAGTGACCTCCCTTCTAGATTTTTTTGGGAAGGTGCCCCCCCCCTGGAAAATTCTGGCTACGGGCCTTGATATTATGACCTGTGATAAGCTCATATGTTTTAACAATCATAACTTAATACCAAACTACTTGGGTGCATCAAAAAGTTTTGCAATTTTGACTCTATCGTAATAACTATATTGAGTTATGTCATAATATTCGGCACATACAATGATCATACATTTGTGGACATACCTGCAAAATTTTGAGACTGGATCTTCATTTTTCAAGAAAATATGGTTGTCATAGTAATATAAGAAGCGACCTCATGGTTCAATGCAAGTTTATTATTACGCAATAAACAGAATAAATGACATCAATTTGCCAACACCTTGTTTAGTCTCATATTAACAATTTTCTGCATATTAAAACATTGTTCTCAAATTCCTATTATCAATTTTCTGCAAACATTGTTCTCAAATTATTCAAAATAATTGCTCCCAGCTGCCAAACATTGTTGATGTCTGTGGACCCAGTCTCTGGACCCAGTCTCTGAAGACAGCCTGAAATCCCTTGCTGATAAAACAGCCAATCGCTTCCTCACGGCTGAGGCAAGTTCCTATTGGGTTTCAAAGCACATGCCCCTCAATCCCCTCTTCATATGACTGAACAAGAAGAAGTCGCATGGTAATGTGTCTGGGAGTAAGCTGCCTGTTGTTACACGCTCCCAATCCAGGTCCTCTTGAGCATCAATTGCCACCCTACTTGTATGGGGCCATGCGTTGTCCATATGGAAGTGGGGTTTGTAGCAGAAAGAGAAAATTTACTTGAAACAAAATGGCTGCCAGAATTCACAGGTTTTCCCCACAATCTACATCACAATGTAAATCCATATGTCATAATAGCCTTGTGTGATGTAATCAGAACAATAAGAAATAGAAAAGGGGAATGAAAAGACACACAAACCTGTAATTTTGGTGACTGAATCATAATAATAACAGAATATAATAGAATTTAAAATTAACATATTCTAGGTGGAACCGAGTACCCTCGGGTCCCGTTACCATAGCAACCATATCTTTTTACCCAATCACAGATGAGCAACCAAATCGTTACACACTATGTATAAATATATGATCTAAAATTGTGCCAAATTTCAAAGCAAAGCTAAATGTATAACTTGAGATAGTATCAAAATTGCAAAACTTTTTGATGCACCCAAGTAGATAGAATACCTATTCCAATACCTAATAAATGATTACAATTGTCTATTATTTTTATTGCAGGCCTTAAATAACATTGCTTTTTCCCTTTTATTTCAGATAAACCCTCACATGATGTAAATGATGGTCATTAAATGAATATTAAATGAAATGATATACAATTAGAGCAATTCAATCACAGATGCCATAACTGAAATTTTACAACAGATGCCTAAACTATTGATGCCATTTTACAAAGAATAATGGGACTCATTCACATTAATGGGATACAGAATAATGGAACTTATATTGTTTATCTTGGAAATCATATATTAAGCTTAAAAACAGTTACGCTTCAATAAACAAGAGTAGCTTGGTGCACGCTGCTAATGAAAGCTATGAACCATAGGATATGAAAAATTGGATGTTTGGATACTTGTGTGAAAATGGGATACTAAACTGTGGGAAATGAAAAAGAGGGAGACTGAACGATTGGATATGATTCCATCAGTTTTGTGATACTACACCTTTGAAGTGATTGTTTATTTTGCCAAATGTTTATCATACATGTGTTGTATTTTGTTACGTACTGTAGTGGAAACGTATTTTTAAACCAGAATTAATCTTTACAAGTGAAGATTTTCTCAGGATTCATTCACACATTTGTCATTTGATATTTTTGCATTTCAAGATTAAAAACCATAGGAAGATAATTATTATAAGATTAGGGCTAGTAATGATTCAGACAATATCTCGATTTTTGCATCTTTGACTTCACAGTGAAAATTTCAGCACATAAGAACTTTCAATAATATGAAATAACTGGTCTTACCAAAATGCTCAAAGAATATCTTGACACGACGCTGTCTCAAATCATGGCCATGAATACATGTTGTGCTAAAATTTAACATATATATATAATCAATTTAATTTTGGAAGTCTTGACCTTGGCTGTCTTGACTGTACTTATATCGACTGCTTTACTTAACTAGCTTGCTTGACTCTACCATGTTACCTTAACTCTTACTGGACAAGTACAATGGACTGTCTTAAAATGCCATGCCATAACTCTACATGAACTGTATTGACTCTATATACATGTAAGCCACCTGAATGTTGATTGATGGCCACCTTAATTCTAACTGGACAAGTACAATGGACTGTCTCAACATGCTATGCCATAACTCTACATGAACTGTATTGACTCTATATGACCGCCTGTATGTTCAGTGAGGGCCACCTTAATTCTAACTGGACAAGTACAATGGACTGTCTCAACATGCTATGCCATAACTCTACATGAACTGTATTGACTCTATATGACCGCCTGTATGTTCAGTGAGGGCCACCTTAATTCTAACTGGACAAGTACAATGGACTGTCTCAACATGCTATGCCATAACTCTACATGAACTGTATTGACTCTATATACATGTAAGCCACCTGAATGTTGATTGATGGCCACCTTAATTCTAACTGGACAAGTACAATGGACTGTCTCAACATGCTATGCCATAACTCTACATGAACTGTATTGACTCTATATGACCGCCTGTATGTTCAGTGAGGGCCACCTTAATTCTAACTGGACAAGTACAATGGACTGTCTCAACATGCTATGCCATAACTCTACATGAACTGTATTGACTCTATATGACCGCCTGTATGTTCAGTGAGGGCCACCTTAATTCTAACTGGACAAGTACAATGGACTGTCTCAACATGCTATGCCATAACTCTACATGAACTGTATTGACTCTATATACATGTAAGCCACCTGAATGTTGATTGATGGCCACCTTAATTCTAACTGGACAAGTACAATGGACTGTCTCAACATGCTATGCCATAACTCTACATGAACTGTATTGACTCTATATGACCGCCTGTATGTTCAGTGAGGGCCACCTTAATTCTAACTGGACAAGTACAATGGACTGTCTCAACATGCTATGCCATAACTCTACATGAACTGTATTGACTCTATATGACCGCCTGTATGTTCAGTGAGGGCCACCTTAATTCTAACTGGACAAGTACAATGGACTGTCTCAACATGCTATGCCATAACTCTACATGAACTGTATTGACTCTATATACATGTAAGCCACCTGAATGTTGATTGATGGCCACCTTAATTCTAACTGGACAAGTACAATGGACTGTCTCAACATGCTATGCCATAACTCTACATGAACTGTATTGACTCTATATGACCGCCTGTATGTTCAGTGAGGGCCACCTTAATTCTAACTGGACAAGTACAATGGACTGTCTCAACATGCTATGCCATAACTCTACATGAACTGTATTGACTCTATATACATGTAAGCCACCTGAATGTTGATTGATGGCCACCTTAATTCTAACTGGACAAGTACAATGGACTGTCTCAACATGCTATGCCATAACTCTACATGAACTGTATTGACTCTATATGACCGCCTGTATGTTCAGTGAGGGCCACCTTAACTCTAACTGGACAAATACAATGGACTGTCTCAACATGCTATGCCATAACTCTACATGAACTGTATTGACTCTATATGACCGCCTGTATGTTCAGTGAGGGCCACCTTAATTCTAACTGGACAAGTACAATGGACTGTCTCAACATGCTATGCCATAACTCTACATGAACTGTATTGACTCTATATGACCGCCTGTATGTTCAGTGAGGGCCACCTTAACTCTAACTGGACAAGTACAATGGACTGTCTCAACATGCTATGCCATAACTCTACATAAACTGTATTGACTCTATATACATGTAAGCCACCTGAATGTTGATTGATGGCCACCTTGACTCTACATTGACTAAATTAAATTGGATATACAACACCAGATTGGATGTCTCGACTTTACATTTTGTTGATTCTGAATCCTGTCTTGACTGTATAGTGGTAACCTTGACTACATGGACTGTATGAAGTTGACTCTGAACATGATGTCTTGACTGTATAGTGGTAACCTTGACTACATGGACTGTATGAAGTTGACTCTGAACATGATGTCTTGACTGTATAGTCGTAACCTTGACTACATGGACTGTATGAAGTTGACTCTGAACATGATGTCTTGACTGTATAGTCGTAACCTTGACTACATGGACTGTATGAAGTTGACTCTGAACATGATGTCTTGACTGTATAGTGGTAACCTTGACTACATGGACTGTATGAAGTTGACTCTGAACATGATGTCTTGACTGTATAGTGGTAACCTTGACTACATGGACTGTATAAAGTTGACTCTGAACGTGATGTCTTGACTTGACTTTACTCTTCTTTACAACTAGTACATGTATCTCGACAGAATATGTATGCCAGATGTTGTATTTACTCAGTTATTTGGAACTCTTTGAATATCTTGACGTACATGTTACACGCCGTGTCTTGATTCTACAATGCGTAACCTTTTTGCTTAGTAGTTATAGTAGTGCATGTTTATGTCAATGCAAGTATACTAGTTAAGTACATAGCCATCCTTAACCATTTTTTTTCTTGTTACATATAGTCTTATTGTCTGTTTTCTGTAAACATGTCACTGAATTTTTATTAATGTCTAACTTTACCATACTGTATGTTTTCATCAGCTGTATATTTTACATTAATTGTATAATTACTGTATAAACTGAAAGGGGAAATCCTATAATGTCCACTGTTAGAGAATAAAAAAGTAAAAATTCGATATTTTGTTGTGCTGTGTTTATTAAAGTCAAAATCACCTAAGCTACATGTGACATAGCCGTAGTCAGTGGGGGAGGGTGCGATGGGTGCAATTTAAATTAAACTCTGAGATAGAGGAAGAAAAGAGCTATAAAATGCTTTTTATTTGAAAGTTCTCGCTCATTTTTGAAGGAGTTTGCATCAATTTGAAATATGCCAAAATTGCACGCCACCTGCAGAAAATCGAACATTTTTTTGACAATCGTACCCCCTGACTGAAAGCTTGCTACGCCCCTGTCTAGATATCTATTAAAGGGTCAAATAAGTACTGCTTACATTAAGTTCCGAAAATGCGAAGTCTTGTTGGAATATGAAAATAAATTGCATGAATGCTTGATTCAAGCACCTCTTCTAATTCCTTATTTGGAATTCATGTACTGGCAATTTTGGGTAATTTGTTTGTAGCTCGAGTTTATTGATGGTGCAAATTATGTACTGGCATGGTTAACTATTTTCATTGTAGTATTATCAAATCACATCAAACTATACAACATTGAACATGTTGAAACACATCCGATTCCAATTACAATGTATAAGTGGAACACATTAAAATCAAAAACCTTATCAAATCGAAAATATATTGACGCCTATGATAAGCGTTTTGATGCAAATAAATTGTGACATGATAACAATTTGTACACCGATGTCATGGTTTGTGTGTAGTCCATTAACATTGACTATTTATTAAGATCACAATTTGTAACAATAATGTTTTATTAAGATAACAATTTGTAAGTCGTGGTATCTAGCATTGACAACATTATTCTGATAAGATCGCAATTTGAACAGCAGCACCTACTCGTAATGTGATGTTTATCGAAATACAATATCCTATATACGACGTACAGTGTAAGTCCGTCGAGAATTTATCCTCCGAACCTGTACATTCTAAGGACAAATAGGTTCAGAATAACATGCCCAAAAATAGACCAACGACCAACTGCATTCCAAATGAACCTACAAAATAAAAAAGTATGCAAGGGTGACTTGTAAAATGGTAATTTACAAAAGGGTCTCGATCTTATAAGTAAAAGGACGTTTAATATTTCTTGTGAAAAATAGCGAGAGACTGGTAAAGATAAAAAATGTATGTAAAATGACTGGAGAGAAAACAAAGTACGATTAATGATACGAATGATTTCGTATCGTGAACCTTAACTGTTTCCCTCGCCTCCATTCTTTGCCATATCTTTCAGCCATCACAGTTACGTCGAAGCAATTAATTTGAAATAAAGGATGTGTCCGGGTATATGCCCTTTTGGTCCCTCAGTCAAATGTATGTTAAATATGTTTTTTATTACTGTCCTAGTTATATTTGATAAGTATATTTACTTTTTCACGAGTTTTGATACATAATTAACCCCCTGCTGAGAGTCAGAATAAGTATCTTAACATAAAAAAAATAGTCATTATCATAGAAAAAGAACATCAATGGCAACATGTATGACTTACAAAGAAGAAATAACTTAAGACCCATGAAGAATTTAAAAGAAAATCATATTTTTGAAATGTATTTAAGGATTAAAATTTTTTTCAAATTTTTGAATTTCCCGCCAGTTTAATTTGAAGGGGGAAAAACAAGATGGCTGCCATTTGATGTAAGAAATATCAGAAAAAAAGTTGCTTCACTTTTAGTTTTCACAATGAGCACAGTTTTCCGGTTTTGGTTTTTCGACTGATTCTGACTCTTCATCACCAGGGTCATGTATAGAGATTATAAAATTGAAACCGGAATGTTGTGCTCAGCATGAATTTGACTGAAATATGTGTAACTTCACCAACACAATTGAAGCCTCAAAACTGGATGCTCAGTAACTTTGAGTGACTATAATCCCTTGATTAACCAGATAAACACCAATTCACTTATCCAGAAATGCCATTCAATGTCTATACAAAGAAAGTAAGCAATGTTTTGGAGGATATGTTTCAAACCTTTTGCATAAATAATTCATTTAATATTTGCCATTGATTTTTTTTCAATTCTGACAAAGTGATATGCACTGTCTTTGATGCCAATATTCTTCATTAATTGTGATACAAATTGATATTTTTGTACTCTCAGGAGAAGGATGACATATTGAAGTTTAATAATATGTGTGATTGAGTTGGTTTTTCAGACATTACAATTTTCAATATTTTCTAAGTCGATACCCAGACTCATTCCCAGACTCATCCTTTTAGTTTATATATCTGCGTATGTGTTTTAAACTCACCACATTTCACTCCGGCGGTATTAGCAGGCTTAGAGTCGATATAATGGACCATCACATACGTTGATATCCGAACGTGACCCTCTTCTATATTACTGTTTCTATATTCAGCTGCACCGACGTTGTATAGAAGTTCACGTTTACGTCGTTTTACCGGACAGTTATCCTAACATAGAAATCAAACAATTGTAAATAAGTAAAATTAATATTTATATATGCATACATGTAATGTTCAAATCTTTTAGAATCCCCAAAATCCACAGATCTGAAATCCACTAAAGTTTAAGTCTAGTATAAACACTTAGGAACAAGCCTTAAGAATGCAAAACGTCAACTCCTACCATTTGTTACATGAGATGTCGAACGCTGTTACAGACGCCGAACGTCAACCACAAAAAAAGTTGGAGACGATAACAATATGCCACCACCACTGGTGGTTACATAATTATTTTATCATTTCCAATGTAAAGTAACAAAACTTACCCCATCGCAGTTAGCTCGTGTCCTGCATACATCTACGTCACAAGTGAACGTTACAATATTCCGTCTGGTTCCTCCAGTAATAGCAAACATCTCAAATGGCGGGGAATAGGACTGTAAAAAAGTACTTGTAAATCCAACTTGATCCTTTGGCTCAGGTGAAATAGGGACCCAGTTAATTTCTGATGACAAATCTCTGCAGCTGTAATGTAGAAACGTACAAGACATACTCATTCCATTGCGCATTGAAAATCATCATTCAAAATTCAACATTAGATCTACTCCCGGGGGTCCTAGTCGGAGTTATGAAGCTCTCCGAACCGTGCATGGGCAAAGTAAAATTTGAAATCGTGGAAATGGCGTTTATATCAGTTTAACATCAGTTCAAAATCATCATTTCAAAAATACGGTAATACCATTCAAGTTACTCGATCCAAACTTGTAGAGAAAATCATAAAATAGTACCGTGGGCACTTGGCTAACATGTAACATGGTATTGCTCAGAAAGAGAAACGTGAATGATGGCTAAAATGGCAGACAATAAAAACGAGCTATTTAAAAAGCAGATTTTTATAATGCAGGACACCTTAAATCAGTTATAAAGCTACTGAATTGACAAAAAGTGAATTTCCCGCAACTAAAATGGCAGCCACTTTAAAAATAGGCAAACTTTTGAATCTGGACTTTCAGGAGGGACTTCTGTATTAGGAGAAACAAAAATAATTCAAAGAATCTTATTGACCCAGGTTTTAAAACGTGCTTCTATTGTATTGTATTGTTTTTTGTTTACCACCAATGAAGGTGAGCAATAACTCTTTGGTATATCACGTACATATACGATCGTAATTAGCGTAATTAGCCTGGGAGATAGACCCAGAAAAGAACACAGGGCTCCTTTGATTTCTGTACATAATTATTTCATACAACTACTCATTACAGTGACATGCATGTCTTTTTGCAATGCAGGACACTTGAAATTATTTATAAAGCTAGCAATTTGTCCAAAAGTAAATTTCGCGAGACAAAAATGGCAGCCATTTTGAAAATTTTGACATAGGTTTTAAAGCAAATGGTCCAAAAGTGAATTTCGCGAGACAAAAAATGGCGGCCATTTTGAAAATAGGCAAGCTTTTGAACCAGGCGTCATAGGGGAGTTTTCTATAATGATGTTAAACAAAAATGACTTAAAACGGGAATCCTATTGACAGAAAGACGGACGGACGGACGGACATCATTAGTTGCTGCTGTATCAGTGTCTCCATTCGTTTTCTTATTTCTTCTTCCTTTGTCTTGATTTGATTGTTGTCTTGATTTGATTCTTCAGGGTCCACAAACTTGAGACTGAATGTAGAAGGGTTAAACGTTTTGATCCGACCGGAAAACTCTCCCCCCTATTACTGATGTTCTTATGTTGTCTTCAGACGGAAAAGTGAGTGATTGCAATAGCTCACCATGTGAGCTAAAAACAACAGCGAACATTCTGAATTTAATTTCAATGCCAAACGAGACCTGTTTATAAAATTTGTTATCGAACAGGCCATGTACCAAAGCTCATCTTTGGGAAAAAGAAAGCTGTACGGAAGAAAGAAACTTACTAATCCTTTACAATTGTTACATGCTGCGAATTGTCGTCGTTCTGAGCTGTACATAATCCAACGCGAATTCCATTTTCATCCCCGGCTGAAAATCAACAAAGTCATTTTTTCAAAGTTATTTTGATAGCGTGTAAAAAGTCTGTTGATCTTTGTTTCTTCATTTTGATGCTTCATTACTCTAGTTGGAATTAGTTACAAATTTGACGATTTTTGAAAAGTTGAACATTGTCAGGCTTTCACACGCAACCCAAAGAAGGGTTTTCAAACTTATAAAGGATCGGTGTAGTAGCAGGCAGCGTTATAATATCCTGAGTACTTTAGTATTCTGTTCGACTTCGAGGAGAAAATTGTTTCTTAAAATGGTTATCAAACTTGCTTCCATAATTCAAATACCAACCTGCCCCATTTTTCCCATCATCTTCCCCGCTGGCCAAAACTCTCAAGTTTACGCTTGTTCCAATGTTCACTGGACTCAAAATAGGACTGGCTGTTGCAGATTCAATGAGGTGCAATTGGTACGTTCTGTCTAGAGGATTGGGTTTCGCTGTAGCTCTTATATCACCATCTGGCCTGGGACAAAAGTTCACCCGTACAGTCACAAGAAATGTTAAACTATCAGAATGTCTAGGTTATTTTGAACCTGACCCTATTGGATCTGGTTTTCAAGCCAAACGTCATGTCATTATATAGTTGTTTTCGGCCCCCTGTCCCTCTCCTTATCTCTTCCTTAAATACATTGTCTTCGTAGGTCGATACTATAGTGGAAATGGGAAACACGCCTTATGCATGACTCCTATTTACAGAACAATGTTGTTGTCAATGTAACTATCCTTGGGCACGCATCGAACCCAGGACCTTCCGTTCTCGAGTCAGACGCTCTACCCCTGAGCCATAAGGGCTAGCCATTACAGCTGAGACTGTAGTAGCGACTTGCTATCGAAGATCATTACACCACCCCCTGCTCCCCCCCCCCCCCAAGAAGACGACGTCCCGTCGTAAATGATTCACAAGGGCAATCCCACTTCTGACACAAATGTAACGACCCTTGGGCACGTCCGTCGGGGAGCTGTAGTGTACCGAGCCAGATGCTAGACTCGAAAGAGAGTGTGCTAAATTCAATGCCCCGTATGGGAATCGAACCCAGGACCTCCCGTTCTCGAGTCAGACGCTCTACTCCTGAGCCATAAGGGCTAGCCACTACAGCTGAGACTGTACGCGACTTGCTATCGAAGGGCATTACATCAACATTACTTGTGGACATTTACCCCAACATTTATCCTACTCAAAAGTGATTATACGCACATTCAATTACAAAAAGGTTTGCCTTTGTCAGCTGGGAAGATGAGTAAAAGGGAGAAAAACGCATAATGCATGACTCTCATTTCAAGGATTTTGTCTTTGTCAATATTAGCCCAGAAAAGTTGGCCTACTCCTGCTGGATTACACACATAGACAATAACAAATGTATAGTTTAAGGGCGATATAAACAATTATTATATAAAGTTTGCATGGTAATCGATCTGTGGTTATCTAATCCTATGAAAAACATAGTAGGATTCTACTGCTGGCGCCACCGCCATCTTCATTTCGGCCCAAAAAAACGAGAGGAGATACATGAAATTGAGGATATAAATGAGTGACTTCTTACGGAACGATGTCGTTGTCGATGTTCACTGTGGATATTGGACCAGTTCCGGCTGGGTTGTACACACATTCAATTACAAACGCCTTGTCTTCGTCTGTCAGTAAAGTACCTTCTACCACTACTATCTTCATTTGAATCGTGCTTGCATTCTAAAGCATATTTATAAGTCATGTACATACATTATCACTTTTATCTTCATCTGAATCGTGCTTGTATTCTAAATCACGTTTGTTATTGTTATTATCGATATTTGTAATATAGAAAAGTGAGTGTTTTTGATAACAACAATGATGTCATTTTAAGTGTATTTGAAATTGTGAGAAAAAGATGCAACCAATGGACTTATGAATATGAACTTATTTCATTTGATTACACAAAAGTAATTAACATAAGTAATTAATATCGCAATCGAAAGTAGTTAACATCGCAAAGGAAAGCTAAATTGTCCAACCTTGTGTTGTGAAAGTTGTGCAACAGAAAACTTATTTGATTTTCGTCGTTCTGAGCTGTGCATGATCAAACAAGGTGATTATATTTACCTTTCTATCCATTCCACACTGTCCCAACGTCCCAATGCCGAGTGTCTGTGAGGGCCAAATGTACTCATATACTCGTGTGTATATAGAATTTGGATCGCGTGTGCTATTAGCGAGAAAACCAGTGAATACACACGAAGGATCGTCCGAGGAAAACGCATACACGGTGTAGTTTCTGACATCAACAAGGTCATTAGCGACTACAGTGATATTAACTGGTCCAAATGTCAACGGCTCCATGGAGCCACTTTGGGCGCCACAGTCGACGCTAACTATAAAATATAACAGCGTACTATATTGTAATACCAATCAGCCCCCACCTTTGCTACCATCTAACCCAATGAAAATGTATCCCACCGTAAGAGGTCTCAAATTACTCAACGCCTCTATCGGATCAAAATTACTTGTTGAATGTTGATGAAGTTTTGCATAAATCCGTTCAATATATCAAGTAATTATGCTGGGATCTCCAATTTGTGCTTTTTATTCATAGATGTACTTACCATCACTTGCAACTACGACTGGAGGTATCAAGGAACACACACCCTGAAGCAAATAATGTGTTGATGTATTCTACGTTATTACTGTTCCACAACTAGTTACTTTGACGAAATGTCAATGTAACAAAATGGATGAACTTCCAGGATAAGAGTTTTTTTGTTTTCTCGATTCAAGGTGCATTGAAAAATGCCTTCGGTTTGGCAAAGGATTTTTAAATGAAGGAATAATTCTGACACTTAATCCATTGTTTTTGTTACATTGACGGAAGTCCATGTCAAAGTAAATGTGTTAATAGTAATATAATGGATTTTCGTCAGTGTAATATAAACGTGGAACTAAATAAAGGATTGCAGCTTTATTAATGAACCAAATTTTTAAATCGAATTCATTTTTCAAAATTTGACTATATTGTCTAACTTTGTGACAAATTATAATATGCAACTTTACTTATACGAGTAAGAAGGTTTAAATGGAGAAAACAAAAAACTTGTGTCCAAGAAGTTCATCCATTTTGTTGCATTGGCGTTTCGCCAAAGTAACTAATTGTGGACCAGTGATAATTAACCATTATAAAGTTTTGACAGGTTTGATATAAAAAGATACTATCCACAAAAAATAATAATTATTGTTGGAGTATTGGCATTTGTGGAAAAGAGTACGTACTTGTCAACTATGCCTCAATTTGCCTCATTTGTTCACATTTCCTCACCATTTTCCTCATCTGATTCCTACTATACCTTCATGTCATTGTTAATATTGTAAATCTATTCAAATAATGAATGCATTGATAATACTTCGTTACAATACTTACATTTACGATGCAGATAAGAAGAGACAAGAGAACCATCCATTTCCCCATTGTTTAAGTTTAAATGTTGCGTAATCTGCAATGACTAAAGTCATAACACAGTTATTAAAGTATTTTATATTTTAATTATAAATTAACTTACACGCCCTGTTATGTAAATCTAAATAAAGCAACGAAATCGAGCATGTTCTAAACTACTTACTTTGATGTTGAGGGCTTCTAACAAAACACAATAAGCCATTTCTTTCCACTTGTTGAAGAGTTGAAGAGTGTATTCTAGTTAATGAAATCACATTAATTTCATCGAGTTGATGTAAGGAGGTGCAGGGGGTAAACATTAAAGGTTAAAAAATTGAAAATTATCTTGTAGCAAAACGGTTGTCCATTGTTAATGTATAATATTGAATGATGAATCAGAGCTTGCACTTGAATCAATGGGACACCGCACTGTAAATAGTATTCGGGAAGGGGGTATGGTATACTGGTCAACTTGCACAAGGTTACCATCTACTTATTCATGATACATTAAAGTAGGCCAAACAAAACTGGCGTGGTCCTTGCTCTTTTTATAAATGCCGTATGTTGCTATCCTCATTTTGTCACAGATTCAACAAGATAATCCAGTGAAAATGACACTAGAAAAAATACGAAGGCCATAATGCCATTTTGACAAAACTGATCCACGTCCACTATTTTTGAAAATACCACAGAGAAAGACAATGAACAAACTGTACAGGTAAATGCTTGATTTATGTTGGTTAGGTGACATGTTAATGCTGTCACAAATTAAAATGTAATTAACAGTGATGTGTGACGTTTAGCATTGTTGTTTGTCTAGTTGATTGGGCAATATGTGACTGATGTCATAGTTTATGTCATATTATTATATTAATAAGTTTATTGGTCTCTTGAACATGTAATGTACATCGAGATAAGTCCTATAAAGCAAATAACAAATAAAACATTCATGTACATGCATGGCAAAACAATTCTTACAATCTAATTTCAACAATCACTAAGTACTTTACTAAAATAATCACCAATTATTTCATTAATTGCATCATCGTGCGCTAACAGGGAGTATAAAAATAGACTACTTGTATTAAAATGAGAAAAACTATTGTTTATACTTTTTATTTTACTGAGTTATTGAGATCGAGCTAGTTTTAGTTCTGATTGAGAACAACAAAAAAGAACGTGTTCTTCATCACCTATTGTATTTTTTGAATTACAAAAGAAACAAAATCGTTTTGATTTTTCTACTTTGAAGTATCGACCTCGTTCAATTGGGAAGTTATGCATCGATAACCGTACCTTAGAAATAAAAGATATTACGTCGTATCTTTATCACAATCACAACATATGACGTCGTGATCGTGGCCTTGATGATTTGCCATATAAGGTAATAATGGCGGACTTTTGGTCACGTGACTGGTCGAACTTCGGTCCATTAAGCAAATGACTCCGCCCACATCGTGGGGGCCCTTCGTAAAAATTCTCAATGATATCGATATGTTTGTCAATAACAAGTAAGAACATATCACAAAATCACAAAATGTGATGGAAAGTTACATATCTAAAAATATTTGCATTATTCTAAAATGGGTGGTAAGATCAATATTTAACTGTTCTACAACGATCATCAGTTTAAGATTATTAATCAGAGGCCTTGGAATGAAGCAATTAGATATTTTGAAAATGAAATTTCGTATGTATAGTACAAACAAAAAGTGTCAGATTTCCTGTTTAAGATTCTAATTATTGAAAATGGATCCTAACACTCACCAACATGAAACTACTTTTTGAGACTCAGTCAACTTGAGTTCTTCTGAGAAAATAAGTGTTTCAAGAAGGGTGTAATTGAATTAATATGGGTATGCTTTTGATTTCATCCTGCATATGTACTGTAGATATGCAGTGTGAAATCCATTGCACCCCCATTATAGGTCAATGGTACCCTTGCTGAAACCCTCATTTTTTCAGAAGAACTCAAGTGGATCGAGTCTCAACGAATAGATTCATTTTTGTGAGTATTGCTAGAATCCATTTTAAATTGTTGGAATATAGGGATTCTTAGACGGGACATTAAAACTGAACAAAGGCCTTTTTAAATTTTTTGTTTGGTACTAGTAATGCCTGCATCACATTTGCTCGGATCCAACGGCCGTCGCCCGGCCGATTGAGTGTTTTGCTCAATATTGTATTCAATTTTGAACAAAATACTCAATCGGCCGGGCGCCGTAGTGAAAATCGGAGCAAATGTAACCAAGGCATAACATCAATCATTAATCCCTCCTTTTCGGATTAAGCAATGTTTAGAGTAAGGTATTTAAATAATCTTCCTGGTCATTAGATACGTCACTGTGATACGTGTATACAGTTCCATATAAACAATTCAGTACATACACAAGACGATATTATAACATTTTATATGGCTTGCCTTGGTTTCTGTCAATACTCCTTTTCTGGCTTTTGAAACAATGGTGTCACTATTACCGTATATACAAAACTTAAGATCTATAGGTGGTGATAAAGTTACAAGCAAATTGTACAATGACCTACTAGTCAAATGCAATGTCTCCTTAAATGTCCAAAATGTGTTAAAAAGGTAAAGTTATCAAAGTTAAGATTCAGAGTGCAAAAACTCATGGAAAATATTTTAATACTTCCAAAATAAAAAATGGTAACGAAAAATAATACATAATTGTAAAATTTTATTTTTCCTTCATTAAAGCATGTTAAAGCGAACTTTTGGATTTTTTACAAAATAAACATAAATGTTCAGTATTATTAAAAAAAACCAATAACATATTATTTGAAAACTAGAATAAAATTCTGACATACAAAAACAATATTTAAGGAATATATCTTAATTTATTAATATAATAGACGTTCAAAGTATGAGTGACACAAATACATAATTCACTATTTTGTCTCATATTTGTTCAAACATGGTATCATGCTTCGTGAATTTGAATTTTGAATGTTCCGTTATAAGTTCATATTCAAAGGCAGAATCAGGTCTACAAGGGTGACAAAATTACAAGCAACATGTGCAATTGACTTACCAATCTATTCCTTACAATCTCAAATACAATATCTCCCAAAAGATTCACGATATGTTATAAATTGGTGAAGTTATTATAGATTCAAAGTGAAAAATGGGTGAAAATGTTTAAATTCTCCCAAATAATGGTAACCATTCTAATTGAAAAATAATACATTATTGTAAAAATCTTTAGTGTTCCTGAAATAAAGTGTGAACTTTGGGGATTTTTAGAAAATAGACAGAAGAAGGAATGACATGGGCCAGAACTATTCTAAAATTGGAACTGCTGTTGTTAGTCTGCTCGCTATATCCGATTCTCTCTTTAAGAAGTATCATAGCCTATAAGGTCATGCTGCCACTGTTATGATCCTGATGTAATACAGCAACTGACCAATCATCAAATAGCCTACAAGAAGTTTAACTCCTTTCAAAGGCTCATGAACTCAACTCTATTGAAATGTTTGAGGATTGTGTCAAAGAAGATGTAAACAGGAGGCACCCAAATGCGCGGGATGTGATGAGAGAAGGTCCGCAATCCTTTCAAAAGGCCCATACAGCCATCTCAAAGGCCCATAAGAAGCTGGAGAACAATTCATGTTCATTCAAAGGATTGGTAAAGAGCCATGCGACTGGGAAAGACATTAAAATACGGTGGCATAGCCCTATAGCTGCACGAGTTAAACAAACTAAGCTGCTAATTCACTACTGGTACGATGGAATGGCCAAAAACAAAAACGTTAAGTTCGTCGACTGTATGTACTGTACATACAATGGATGAACTTTTTCAGGTAAGTCAATTTAAAATAAAATGTTTTAAATGCAGCCATTATACCTCATTCCATTCCAAAGCAGTAATCTACATGAATTTATATGCCTATGACATTTCTTAAATACTAATTTTCAACTAAACATTCAACTTCACAAAACATGCTTCCATTTTTGAACAAATGGGAGACAAAATGATTTGTAATTGCGTCACTCATACAATGAACGAATATAATATTAAAAGAATAAGAGATGTTCCTTATATATTTTTGTCAGAATTTTACTTTAGTAGTACATTTTACAATTTACATCTACAAGTGATTAATCGAGTGCTAATCAAAATGCAAGATATATAAAAAAAGTTGAGAAATTACGTTCATGTAGGCGACATCCCCTATCATATAGATCTAGCAAAGAGTTATGACAATGATTTAAATACAAGAATATCTTGGCCTGTTTATTTTCGAAATATCCAACGTGTATACTTTAATCGAGATAATCTAAGATATTTACAACATAACTATACGATTTATACTATTTGGAAGAATCTTTCCCTGTCTTTTTTAACACTACGCCGAAGGGGGGGGGGTATTTGGTCAAAATAAGTAGGATACGGATCATTTCGAAGTTGTTTGATCTCGTCGCCCAGAACTCCTATTTGGTAGGGACGTATAAAGAAATATATCTAAATTTTCGATAGAAAATTCAAATGTATTTATCGAGCAATTTTGAAGAGAATCATTTTTCTCTCATTTTTTTGAAGAGAACGCAATTCGAGAATTTTTGAGGACTAAACCCTGGACTTGGTGCATTGTATTCTGGATCCTTCCAATGACGGTATTGTTCTGGAATCTTTGCACGATCGCACAGCGGGAATGTTAGTTTAGGAAACAACGCCAGAGTGGAATAGAATAGGCACAATGCATTGGGCTTGAATACTTTTCACACCTTGCAAAATATTTTCTACAAAATCACCAAAATTAGACAATATCACTAAAATAACATAATTTCAATGATTTTTTTGCAAGGGTCAGTAAAGGCATCAATTTCAATCTGTAAAGTTCAAGTTATCACCTTAACTTCTAACACCCCAGTCACATTTGTCCACGGCGGCCGTAAGTTGACCGCAGATCAATTAAATCAGTGAATTTCTGCGGCGAGCGCAGGAAAACTACGCTCGCCCTGCGGCCTCCGTATGGCGTATCCAGTTTTTTTCAGGCCGCAGGGTCGCCGTAGAAATTATAACTCGGAGTTATAATATTTGTTCATTTCTGAGGTCCCCGTAGAAATCAACTGGCTCAACAAGATTGAATCATTATTTGTCAATGTTTCACGATCACTTTTCATTTGATATTACATCCTAGCACTATGAATAACATTTATAATTTGTCCTGATGTAAATAAAATGAAAAAAAAAATTATCAACAGAAATTTAAAATTCACCGTGCGGCTGCCGTGGGAAATGTGACTGCAAAATTATGAGAGCGCAGAAATTCTACGGCGAGCTACTGGCCGCAGAAATGATAGACCGCATGGCGGCCGTGGGGAATGTGACTGGGGTGTAAACGACAAATGCGTGCTTGGTTATATACCAAAATTCAGTAACGTGAAATAGCGCGTTCTGACTAGTTGGAATTGAACACTCCTTGTCTACCTTTGTGAATTGTTGATTTACTGTATTTTACCTTTAAAAACTTATAACATGGACAATGAAGTGGCTCGATATTTATAAAGATTCTTAGTTCATCTCATTTCAAATGTATTGAGCGATATTACTTGGATATTAAAGATAGCATAATGTAAAATTCTTGTCTTCATATACACAGGCAAATTACATCGTGCCCCGTACGAGCTTGTACGAGCCTCGAAAATTACGAGTCATTACGGGCAAAAAGGAGCACCATCCTCGCACAAGCTCGTACGAAGCTCGTTTTCGAGGCCCGTGCGAGCTCGTACGATGCTCGTAATTGTTGTTTTCGAGGCCCATTCGAGCATGTACAAGGCTCGTAATTTCGCGGCCCGTACGAGCTCGTACGACGCCCGTTATCGAACTCCGAACAAAAAAATGAATTGCTAACATGCTACACGATTCACGTATCTATCCAGGAGATGTTGTACATGTTTGATCATTTCAGATTGGTGTTTTTATTCACACATTCGATAACAATAACATTTACAAGTATTTACATCATATTTCAACTTATTATAACACCGCACGCAAATGTTTTTATATAAATAAAATATGGTGCCTCCTATTGGTAACCTTCCTGTTTATTTTGTTTCCTAGCTTTAATACTGTTTATCATGTTGATACAGACATGCGAATATTTTGAAATTATTGAAAACATATTAATTCATAATTAGATATAATTAAAATGTCATTTCTCAAGAACGCTGTATTTTATTTCATCGAAATCAACGAGCAATTACGAGCCTCGTTACGAGCCACGTACGGGCAAGTACAGTGCTCGAAAGTTACGAGCCATTACGGGCCTTGTTACGGGCATTGCACAGGCAAGTACAAGGCTCGAAAATTACGAGCTATTACGTGCCCCGTAACAGGCACCGTACGAGCAAGTACAGGGATCGAAAATTACGATTTATTACGGGGCTCGTTACGGGCACCGTACGGTCAAGTACGGGGGTCGAAAATTAAGAGCTATTACGGTCCTGGTAATCACAAGCTCTTACGAGGCTCGAAAATTGCAAGCAATTACGAGACTCGTAACGAGGCCCTTACGAGGTTGTACAAGGACCGTTGACACAACAAGTTCCGTACGGGCTTGTACGGGGTCCGATGAAATTTGCCTGTGTAGTACGTTACATGACGTAATGTCACCCGATTCCTTTGTCGTATAGTCTACCACTTAGACAGATATGTCAAATTCTAGTGTTCATAGTTCGTCACGGGACTTGTCACCGAATTTCTCTGTCGGTTAGTCTAGATCTTGAATATATAGACACCGTATCTGAAATGCTAGTGTTTATAATTAGCCACATGACCTAAGGTCACCCGATGTCTTTGACATATAATTTACCACTTTAATAAATAGTTGCTGATGTAAAATTCTAGCATTCACAGTTCGTCATAAGACGTAATGTCACCGAATTTCTCTTTCGTATAGTCTACCACTTGTATATATAGACGCTGATGTGAAATTCTAGTGTTCATAGTTCGCAATAGGACGTAATGTCATCCAATTGTCTTATAGTCTACATTTTAGATATATAGACGCTGACGTGAAATGCTTGTGTTCATAGTTCGCCACGGGACGTCATGTCACCCATTTGGCTCATAGTCGACCACTGGGATATAGAGACACGTTATTTGATTCTGGATGTACACTAATGTTCAATTTATTTCGTTCATTATTCATTTTAGTTCATTCACATTGACTCGAACACTCAAGGTTTAGTGCTAGTAGTGGCAGATGCTGCTGCATCAATTGTGTTCCTCCGATTTGGCGCCGAAGGTGGCTCAGGTGTCGACCTACACTTGCACTTCTTCCATATGTCTTTCCAGGGAATCGAACTTGAAGATGCTGCATCATTTGTGTTCCTCTGATTTGGAGCCTGTGCTTGCTCAGATGTCGACCTACACTTGCATTTCTTCCATATGTCTTTCCAGGAAAGTGTGCTAAATGTGTAGAGTATCGGGTTGATAGCGCTGTTGATTGGTAACACAAATATGCTGATATAAGCAATGATATCTCCTGAAATAAATGATAACTATGATGTAGTTTATGAATATTTATTTTAAGTTCATGTTATGATGATTATTTATTTATCAGTGGCAATTCCTCTTTTTTATTTGAAATTCATACTTAGGAGGCGCCATCTAAATATGTGTGAATTTATACCAGTCTCGTGGTACCTATACCTCCTTCACAGAAATAAAAAAATATCAACATTTATTATATCACTGTCACATTCCTCACTCTCTGATTGGTCCATGTCCTACAAGTGACTAAAAAGTAACAAGCGATATTCAATGGAGTCACGTGACTTCAATTGAATATCAAATTATATTCACCAGTCCAACTAAGTCCAGTGTAATTTCAATTTTATATATAACAAGGTCCAAGGAGTACATTATTCCGATTGATTAGACCTAAATAGTTTGTTATTCCATTAGTGTGAGTGAGGAATATAACAGTAAATACAGGGTGTCTGGAAAGTAAAGATACAAATGCTCTAATTTCAATAGATTTACCTGTTGTGAGATGAAATTGCTACAGATTGTAGAATGACATTGTAACAACTTATCCTGCAACTGTCATGACAAATTGTTTGAAAATAAAAAAGTTATGGTTGTTATGGTAACATGAGTTGCGGGTATGTGGAGCAGCGTCGCAATTATGTTTTATAATTCTTTTCTCCAGTTCATATCATCTTGACACTTTGTCATCTGTGGCTATTATACATCAAATTATGTACCACGACAGCAACAGGATTAGTACTGTAACATTATTTAGTCATTTGCCATTACTTCTGTTATCCAGTATTATGTATTTCCCACTATTATCTTAACATTCTTGGTGCATTTTGACGGGAGATTCCAAGACCTGACAAAACCGCCGCTGCCCATCTCTAAGATTGCTGCTAACATTGGCTTCCAGCAGAATCTCATATTTATATTGAACTTCTGACAAATATTGCTTTAAGATATGCATTAATGTAGAAGTCCAACGGGACATTATCAGGCAAATATGGGCCATTGTACAAAAACGTTGCATTCACTTGTAAGATTTGTTTTCTTTGCTTTGTGAATTGGTCCATTGACTGTGGAGGTGCACTATTGACTTTTCTATTAATCAAGGGACCCTTTTCTAAGCACTTAAATACCTTTTCTTTGATTATACTGGTGACATTATATAGCTATGATATGTATCAAGGGTGTCATTAAACTAAAGAGAATACTATGGCAGCAAGAACACAATATTGAACAAAACAAAATATTGATAGGAAATACAATAATAAACACTGTTTGAAATGGTTATATTTAAACAATTTATTACAATTTAGTGATATCCTGGAACTGCTCCGCATACCCCTCATAACCGTAACCATGACAACCGTAACTTTAACACATTTAGACCATATGTTATAAAAGTTGGTAGATGTCCTCTACATTCTGTAGCAATTTCATTACAAAAAAACTAAATCTCTTAAAACAAGAGTATTTGTATCTTTACTTTCCTGACACCCTGTAATAAAACAAATATTTAATTCTATTTTCGGTGAATACCTGTGACACTTTCACAAGATGATATTCCACTGGACCTTCGGGTTTTCGTCGTATATCACTTGTGAAAGATTCACAGGCATTCATTTCAATATAATTAAATATGTATGATATTACATGTTTCAAGAAATAAAAGTGTGTCTTTTAACAGATGAAAAAGCCACAGCTTGCATTCCTCGGTGGAATGTCAGTCCATTTGATTATTCAAAGCACGGGCTACCATTTTAAAACAAAATGCAACAAAAATAACAAGTGTAAATTAAAGGGGTTGTTATTCTGACAATTCCACTGCCGAAACAGATCCAATACTTTGTCACTTTTTAAAATTTATCAGTGTTCCTTTAATAATCTTTCCTACGTATAAATTGTTATTTATACAAAAGAAAAAATATTGTTATTGTTATTCATACGGACATGTCAAATATCAATGCTTCGAATAAAGATTTATAGATTTCTTGTGTATGATATGGAAATTCAGGACCCTGTCCTATGCACCTCTACTAAATTGTCTATAAAATTAGATCGAATTGGCCCATGGTCAAAATGGTGTCATAAAATTAAATTCTTTTTTTTCATACCTCGATAGGCTGAAATTGTTTGGTCAATCTTTGCTCTTTAAACTATTCGTCAGGTTATGTTATTATTAATTTATATTTAATCTAAATGTATTATAGTACTTATGTAGTACTCAGTGCAGTAATTAATTTCTTGTTTTCTTTGTCCAGTGTGAATCCTCGTACCTTTAGCAAGCCAGAGGCCTCATCATCCGCTCGTCGCAACGCAGATTCGCAAGCGCACCGCAACGCAACGCAAGTTTTGGCGAATCGCAATCAGGATTTGTATCATCCGCTCGGCGCAACGCAATCGCAAATTGGAAGATGTTTCAATCGCAACTGACCAAATTGTTGCGATAGCTCTTACCCTGCCGCAAATCGATCGCAAATATTACCCATCTTTAAGACAGTTGTTATCTATTTTAGATATGTCAATCAAGGAGTTTCTTTATTGATTGCGTAAGTATGTTCTTTTTTCAAGGCGACTGTGTAATAAAAAGTTAGTTTATGTTTTTCGAAAGTGCTTAAATCAAAGGAATCATTAATGGTATGAGGGGTGTTTAAAACCTTCGAATTTTATAATTCAACCCAAATTCTGATCGCAAATTGAAGAAAACGAAACGCAACATTTATTCCGGCTGATCCTAGAAATGGGCATAACATTGAGGTTCTTTGCAACAGGCAACTTACAAATGACACATAGGGACTTATTTGGAATAACCCAAGCATCTGTCTCGAGGTGGTGGGAGAGGTGACAACTGTTATGTCAAGGTAAAGTATATTGTAATTTTCGATAAGCACTGACTTCAGTGAATCAAGGTAGTTCTATTTCAAGGCATTAAAAGGTACTAGTATAGGGTAGAGTAAATACTAGTATGTAAATAACATCCAGGAATTTCACTTACTGACACCCTTGGCCAAGGTCAACTTGAATGTATTGTATGATTTCCTATGAAACGAGAAATTACATTGACTCACCATCGAACGAAAATCGGTATTTGTTAATTGGGGGTTCGATGGCATCATACGTTCATATGCATTAGAATATTGGAATTTTACTGGAAAGGTACAAACGGTTCTTTACGATCCTAGTCACATTTCCCACGGCGACCGTGCGGTCTATCATTTTTGCGGTCAGTAACATTTCTACGCTACCCATAGAATTTCTGCGGTCTGATACTTTTGCAGTCACATTGTTTACAGGAAATATATGACCGAAAACTGACATAAAAACTGCTTCCAAAGGTACATTACCCATTAAACCGTACAACAGACGCAAGTTAACGGCAAAGCCGACGTGTGGCCACTCTCGCACCTGTGTGAAACCACATCATACATACTCCAACCCGCGACCCGAGTGCACCCTCGACAGTACATACTTTTACCAGCCGAGTGCACCCTTGTTAGTACACGCATTCTCTCAACCAAGAGCACCCTCCTGATAACACACTGATATGGGGCACCCTCCTGATAACACACTCAACTAGTACTACGATGCACCCGGATGAGAGTGTGTACTGACTAGGGTGCACTCGGGTGAGAATGTCTGACGATGGTGCACTATACTAGGTTGAGAATGTGCACTGATATTCAATTATTAATGTGTTGCCGATCGCGAGATTCATGTAATGACTGAATGATGTACAAGAATAATATACTTAGAAATAAATCTCAATACATGAAGATTGATCTTTAAGATCAGTGATCGTTACACTTTGGCATTTTTTGATTGAAATAATCACTTTCTATATTTAAAAGTAAAACTCAACTCGAGATAAGGTCTGGTGAGTCCATGCATCAAAAAAGTTCTGTGACACGTACATTGTATTTTATTAATATGATTTCCCCGCTAATTTATATAACAGGTTGGAATTCTACATTTTGCGATCGCATGTGGTATTACTACCACTTAAGTTGCGATCTGCGTTGCGACGAGCGCGTGATAAGACGCAACTCTGGAGTTGCGCTTGCCCAAATTTCCGATTCGCAAACGCAACGCAGACGCAAACGCAATTTTTGCGACGAGCGCGTGATGAGGCCTCAGGCCTTCTTATAACTACAGCTACATTACATCGCTACATCCACATCCCCTTCTCTAATTCCACCTTTGAATAGTTAGCAATGCCCATTGGCTTATCATATGCAATATGTCTAAAGGCAGGACTAAATATAACTTTTGTTTTACTGTTTTCGATCCACTTCGTTAACATGAATAATTCTATACATAAGTAATATTCTTCTATATTTAAAACTGCATTTGATTGTGCATTGCTAACGTCATTAAATAGGGAGAACTTATCAAGATGTTCAAGAGTTCATTTACGGTAATTCTTCCCTCTTAGTAAATATTGTTGAGTGAATTTAGGCATATCTAGTATTAATGTCTTTGTATATTGTTTAATCAGCACCTTGGTAATCATAGAAACTGTACGTGTAGTAAAGGTTAACGTCGTGTACATGAAACCTCGATCAAAAGTGTGAATGAATAAGACGGGGGCACATACCTCCCACTATGAAGATCGTTTCAAAATGTTCATGAATAGATATATGTGTGCACAACTTTTTAAAACAGTCCTTGTAGTATAGATAAGATATTAATACAAACCTGGTAATGTTACCTTGTAAAAGGTTAGAAATCCCAAAATTATTATTGGAACCCAGCAGAAGAAATCGGTAGCCACGATCCATATCAGTTTTGTTGCCAATTTTCTGTCTTTCTCTTGTCCCGAGCCTTGTTTGGTTTTTGATCTAGAGATCATTGTAGCAAAGAATATAGCCAAGTAGCCAGCAGCAATAAGAAAAAAGGCGATAAGATTGACAACATTGAAAAGAGCAAAGGAATACTCCCAACCGTTAAAATGGGAATAAGACTCTTGACCACCAGATGTAGTGCTAACCTCCCATTTAAGCATGTCTTCTTTTGCAGAATCGTAATTCAACATAAGCGGTAAGCAGAAGCCAGATTGCGTATAGAATTCATGAGGGCTAAAGTAATTAAGAGGAAGAAGTGGTAAAGCTGTTAAGGTTATACAGAGAATCCAGCCAAAGATGAGAGTCCCAAGTGCAGCACGCTTGGAAAAGTGTAACCACATTTTAAAGGGAAACAATATTTTGAGGAACCGGTCAAGTGTCATGACAACAAGGATGTACACGGACATTTCACTTGACAAAGATGCAATGAATCCAGATGCCATGCAGAAGCCACTTTTCCTCCAAACACTCTGGTATTGATAGTATATGCCTCTGTATTTCAGATCCATCGAAGCAATTATGATAATGTAAACCCCAATTATCATATCCGATAATGAGAGATTCATTATCAATATTTCGTTTACGCCATGCTTCGATGTCCCTTCACAAAATCGAAGTATGATGACAGCACTGTTAGCAAGGAGTATACATATACCAATTGTCCAAAGAAACACCCGGAGTATGTTGTTTTTCACTAGATCTCCACACGAAGACAGGTGGTCTGGCTGTGGGGTACAGAGTTTAACTGTTGTTGGAACGATGCAGCAGAATTCCATATGATCGCTGTCAACTTCAGTCAACTTCTCAAGACCTTGAAATAATGTCAACGGGTATTTGGGCAATGCTTGTCCATAAATACTAATGATTCTAATATTTCTCAGATTGGTAAACGCGTGTTTGTCGATCGTACGGATGTAACATTCCATAATATACAGGTCTATCAGTGAATCAAGACCTGCAAATATGGTCGGTTTCAGACGTGATATTTTTGTATCAGAAATGTCCAAATACTTCAGTTTATTTAATCCATCAAACTGTCCATCTGATATTGTCTCATTCACTGGAACTGATGCAACGTCTAGCTCCGACAGGTTACTGTAATTTGTTGGGTATCTAAACAATGTATTAAATATATCAAGTTGCCCTATGACAAGTTTTCGTAACAGGTGTGGCTTAGGGAGAGAAACATCTTCTACACGCTTTATATCACATCCAACAATTGATAACTCCTCCAGAGAAATTAAATCTTGAAACAATTTTCTGTTCATTTGATAATCCAACCTAGTGTAGTGTATATACAAAGTCTTAAGTTTATATAACCCCCCTAGTGCTCTGTTCTCCAACTTCACGGTGTTCTCATTATATTTTATGTAAAGAACTCTTAGGTTATCCAGTCCCTTGAATCCAAACGAAGATATTTCACGTATCCCACTGTCATGGAACATTAAACGTATGAGATATTGCATCCCATGAAACATTCCACTTTCTATGTAACTAATTCTGTTCCTTCCTGCAGATATACCTCTGACATATATCGACATGTCTGTTGGTATTGTATACAAACCTATTTTGTCGCAATTGATCTCTCCTCGATGAAGACGTCCAGCGAAGGTTCGTTCATAGCACCAGCAAGGCCGTCGTGCTGGGCAAGGTAGGTTCTTATCCTGATACAGATGACCGTACTTCATCCTTACACACATGAATGTATCGGTGACATATTCTCTACATTCTGCTTGACTCCATGTAATGTTGACCTCAGATGTGTTTACGACATTCATAGTTGTCATCAACAAGTCGCAGGTTCTAGCACCGGTCATCAAACCTTGAAATGAAGTGCATGGTAGGGTTAAAGGAATGTACAGTTGTATATGTATGAATAGTTGTCACCAATAAGTCGAAGGTTCTGGCACCAGTCATCAAACCTGAAAACTATTTGCATGATAGTTATAAAACAGGGTAGCGATCTTTTTGCAGCATGTCAATGTTTCTCTATTACAATCCTAAGAACCGATTAAGTATAATTTTTTGAAGATTGACAAAATAGCAATGTCCAAATTTAATTTTTCACGGTAGAAGAATAAACGATAGGAAGTTTGCAGAACAAAATCAGAAATATGATAATTTAATGTTATAATTTGAATAGTCTGTAACTAAAATCAATGTTTTTTGATGATCACAAATTATTGAAGTGTTTCTCGTAGTGCTTTTACTATATGTACAGCTTAAAAATGATGTTATCATATTGTAGGAGCTCAAGTTAATATGTAATTTCTCATTGGATATCATGTTTTTAAAGGCCGGTGAAGGGCGACACCGACTTTTTTTTGTATATTAAGTCGCTTATAAAATTACGAGTGATAAGTTCTTCATTTGTGAGTTCATATGAATTTCATTTGTATTAACCTTATCCCGTTTCACTGATAAACCATGAAGAGATCGGCATGTAAAGATCTGTTTGACGCTATTAATTTTTTGCTTACACACTCGTGGGAAATTCATTTCATTTAAACTCGTGTTTGAATTACGTTTATCGTTATGCGTTGTATTTTTCAAGGTGAAAAATGGGTTTTAATCAATACTGTAGTCAACGTAGCAGGATGCAGGTTTCATATCCATGTATATATAGTTCACTACGATTATGATAGGTCTAAAAAATGTGTTCAACATATGTTGTAAAGTCATAAATTTCGCAGTGAGTGCGTACGCTTAAAAGTCAAAAATTATTGCTTGTATTTACGTTGCATTTGACACTTTCTCCATTGATGTAGTTCTAAAGCTCGTTTTCTAATACACATTTTAAACGAGCTCGTTTTGTAAGATTTTTGGAGCTAAATCATGCATAACATACACCATAGTCTTCAGAAAGAATTCTACTGTGCATCGAAATCAAAATTGCCAGCATAGAATTTGAAATAGACACGAGAATAATGGTTCCCGTTGACATCAACGTCAAATTCCAAATCTCTCGTTCTAAACACGAAAACCTGAAGCTGAAAGAGTATCTGAATATATAGGCACAAATGCCAAATGAAAGCGTGACTATAAACATTTTAAAGAAACCCAACAAGAAAAGCAAACTGTAAGTGTAAATCTATCATAAGAAAAGTAGACCATATATATCCCAAAACCATGATCTAACGTGAAAGGAAACAATGTCTAACACCCCCTCCCCCCTCCAATCGAGAACCAATATCACAATCCAGGACCAGAACACCAAGAGATATTTCATTCATACTGAAGTCATTACAATGCATGTTGAAGGAAAATTGAAAAATAATTAAAGCCAATACTTTGTGAAGTAGATTAAAGCGCATATAAAACTATGCGCGCTCGATACATCCCTTTGTTAATCCATGTCCTTTCAGTTCACGGTACGTTGTAAAAAACATTGCAAGCTTAACCTATCTATTTAAATGATTATTCAACATTACATGGCATTTGTGGCTTCACCCCTTATGTTTGTTACAATATTTATAAATATATATCTTATAAATATAAATCTTGGAAAAACACTGTAAGAAAAGCATAGTTTAGCAAAACGATTGTGTATTATTTTAATTTCTTATAATAGCGGAGTCAGATGTCCAGAAATAACCACTTTACACTGTAGTTCGTCTTTTTTAGGAAAGCAACAAACTTGGCACAGTTGAAAAAACCCTTGATCTGAGTGTAACATTATTTCAGGCAAGTGGTTTGGGGTGGATCCCAATGGCTTTTTAGCCTTTAACACCCACTCCTATCAGCCGGGGAGTTACCCCCTCACAGCCTGAT